AGCTCAGGGTGGGCCGCCAGAGAACCGACATTGTGGGAGCGCAAGGTAAAAGGGCCCTCACCAGGAAAGCCACGAGTGGCATCAAAAACACGGTACAGCACAAGCCACCAGACAGCAACAGGAAAAGAGGCAGCACACCAGCAACAAGGGAAGCAGCAAATGCCAGTACCAGAACCCGAGACACAGAGGGTCAACCAGGGACCCGTCCCCCCACAGGGCCAGAGCGGCCCTGATAGTCAAGCCCCCATTCGAGCTGCCTTGGCCGAAGGGGCCAGAGCATCCTCCGCGGCACCAGCCCGAGCCGGCTTGGACACCGCCCCCAAGATGCGCGTGAGCTGGGCGGAAACCTGTGCGAACTGGGTGTCAACCTTGTCCGCCAGAGTGTCCTGCTTAACCTCGAGGCCCCCCAAGCGTTGCTCCGGATATTCGGCACCGCTCGGTTGGCAGTCCTGGACAAGGGTGCTGGCCCCGCCCCTCTGTCCAAGAGGCTCATCGCCGTCCTTCCTATCTGTTACCTGGCATGGTCGTCGGCGAGGTTTCGAGCCTCCACTGCGTGGCAGCGTGCCGTCCTTCCGCCTGAGGTTGTTGGTGGTGTCCCTGGTCGCCGTGTCGAGGATATCACCCATCACATGGCGTTGGACTTCCATGAGGCGCGTGCCACTGATGCTCCTTTTGCGGGCATTCAGGTTGATCGCTCCAAGTGTTTTGATCGCCTTATGCCCAGGCAAATTGTTGCGCTCCTCACTGCCTTGGGCTTCCCTGTGTCGGTGGCTCGTGCCTGGTGTGGGAATTATGATGGCTTTCGCCGCTTCCTGTCTTGGCGTGGTGCTGTCCACCCTGAGCCCCTGGCCAACAGCAATGGTATTGCCCAAGGGTGTTCCATGTCCGTGCTTGCGGCAAATGTGCTGATGACGGCGTGGTCTCTCCTTATTCGGCACTTTCCGGGTGTCACGCCCAGGGTCTTTGTTGATGACGGGTATATGACCGTGACCACCTTGGATGCGATCCCCAGCTTGGTCCAGGCCGTCCGTGCTACCTCGCTCTTTGACTCCTTGGCTGGCCAGCAGTTCAACCTCCACAAGTCAGGTTGGTGGGCCACTCATGACATGTGTGTGGCGGAGCTGCAGCCTGCGTTGCCTCAGGCTCCCCCTGCGCCCCTTGGGGGTCACGATCAATCTGCATCTCCGTGGTACCCGGGATGCCCGGGCACCTGCTGTTGCGAGCTTCAGGCGGGCGCTCCGTGCCATCCGGAGTCTCCCGCTCTCTGCTGCTTCCAAGGCTTCCTATGTCGCCCGTAAGGCCATGCCCATGCTGTCGTATGCGGCTGAGCTCAACTTTGTGCCCAAGCGCATCCTTTCTGCCCTTGCCTCTGAGGTCGCCTCTGTCCTCTGGGATGGTCGGCCTATGTGGAGGTCCCGGGAACTCCTCCTTGCTGTTGTGCATCCCGGCCACTTGGTTCATCCAGAGTATGCGCTGCCGTATCGCACCATCCTCAATATTGCGGCCCATCTCCAGCGCTCGGAGGTCTTCAGCCTCAAGTGGAGGATTGCCTTTACAAATCAGCGCCTGCTGCCTTCCACCCTTGTGGCGGCTTTCGTGTCGGCGCTCACCGCGTGCGGTCTCCGTTTCCAGGCCCCTGCCTCTGTTGCCTTTGATCATGGCCCCTGGCTCTCCCTGTTTGGTATGTCCCTGCGTTCGCTTAAGCGTTTGCTCCAGTGGACTATACCTCAGCATGCTTACGCTAGGGCCTGCCGGGGCAAGCGTGCTGACATTGCACATGGTCCTACTGGCCTCCTGGATGTGGCTTTCTCTCGCTCCCCCTGGAGTGTCCCCCCGTGTCCACGGTGGACCTCCTTTGCCCGTCTCTTGCCTTCCAGGAAGGCTGTGGCCCCGGCGGTTGTGGTTGGCTCGGCTGTCACTGCCGACCGGCTTCATGCCTCGGGCCTGTCCGGTAGCTCTCTCTGTCGGTACTGTGGGCGGGAGCAGGAGACCATTGGTCACCTTGTTGAGTGTCAGGCCCTGCCTGGGGAGGTTGGCCCCCCCCCCCTTGTTCCTGACCAGGGACCTGCCTTTGCCACCCATGGCCTGCTTGAGGTCCCTGCTGACCTTCAGTCGGCGTTCTGTGCTGCTCAGCCGTGGCCTCCTACTTCTCCTTGGCCACGCTACGGGCCTGGGCACACTACTCACCTTTGGACGGATGGTAGTGTCTACTTGCCGCAGCACCCCTTCCTTGCGGCTGCTGGCTATGCCGTTGTGTCTGGTTCGCGTGCCACTGTTGATGCTGGTGCGGTACCGGGTGTCTTTGCGGACAACTACCGTGCGGAGGTGTATGCCATTGTGCGTGCGGCCATGCATGCTCGGGGCCACCTGGTTGTGCATACCGACGCCCAGTCTGCCGGCCAGGCTTGGCAGGCTATTAGAGCTTCATTGGATTCGCGGTCATGTGGTTGTCTCGGCTGTGACTCATCCGATTGAGGCCCTGCATGCTTGGTGCAACCATGCAGCTGACCTCGCGGCCAAGGCTGCCGCCAGGGTCTCCTTGGCTGTCCCTGCCCGGCGTCTGGATGTCCTCTTCTTTGCCACCTACCGCCGTCACTTGTGGTTGCAGAGCCTGTTTCTTGCCCTGCCGCGCACCCCCCTTCCCCCTGTGCCTGCCCCTGACCCTGGTGAAGCCCTGTGCCCTGTGGCTCCTGCCCCGCCCCCGGAGCCTTTACCGGACCCTTGCCATGGCCCTCCGCGCTTCTGTGCTGCTTTTCCCCCGCCGGGGAAACCTGATGATTGGGCTATGGGTGCCTCGTCATGGGAGGCCTGGAGCAGCTTTCTTCATGGTGCAGTTTGGCTGCGTGCGGAGGACTCCTTTCAGCCGGGCCTGGCGGTTGCGTTGGTGGTGTGGAGGCGCTACCCGGTTGTCCTGCCCTACCAGGACGGCCGAGCAGCCACGGTGCAAGACCTTCTGGTACACTTCAAAGCAGCTCGGGCCCCACTTGCTTTTCCAGGTAAGTGGGAGCCCCGGTTGGGTGCGTATGCGGGCCTGGCGTGGGATCGGGGGGCCTTCTCTGGAGAGGATGCCTTCCTTGAGAGGGCTCGGATGCGGGCGGCCCGGCTGGGCCGCGTCCCTCGCAATTGGGCCTTTTCTCTTGGGTCCCTCGCATGACTATGCGCTGGGTGCAGTGGCGTTTGCGGCCTGTGCCGCTGGGCCCTACGTGGTGTGGGCTCTGGATGTGAGGGCGGCCTGCCCTCGGAGGTTGTTTCACCTCGTGTGGAGTGCTTTCTGCCACAGTCTGTGGTATGTGTCACTGGTGGGCACCTGTCCCACTAGGCCTGGACAGATGGTTGGGCGGCATGCCCCTCCGTCAGCCGGCGAATCGTCGCCCGCCGTGTGCCAAAAGGGTACCCTTATTCTAACCTCTCTACTGGAGGACCTTGGATAGGGAATGAGAAATGGAACGAATCCCCAGTACTACGCAGACAAAACAAAAACCTGGGGATTCCCGAATAAAGGGGAACCACCAGTTGGATGGCTCTTCTCGTGGGTCATAGCAATTCTCGTTCCCTGAGCACCAGCAAGGAAATGGGGGGATTGATCAAAAGGTCCGGTAGACATCTTGCTGGTTCCCAGCCGTCCGGTTTCTTACTTAAACGGGCAGGGTACTTAGTAAGCCGGCAAGAACCATGGATATATCCCGCTGTTACCGGGGTCATAAGTCTCCTAAGTGGGTTACAACCAGGCTTACTCACCACTTCGTCCCCCAGCAAAAGGGAGGTTTCCATGCACCACATGAGGAATTTAATGGGGACCTATCTCAAAAGTGGTTGGACATGAATCCCAGCTAAAGGATGTCCACCAAGTCCCTTGACACAAAAATAGGAGCCCGGCCTTGATCATTGTGAGCGTTTATGTCTTGCCTCTTTAGTTCTCCTTCGGCTTCGATTCATTCGCCATCCTTTGCTTTGTTGTCCAAAGCCGACCTTTTGACCTTTTGGTTTTCCAATTTTGGTCCATTTTTAGTAGAGGTGCCAAAAGGTTAACCTTTTAGTTCTGGGTCCTTTGGGCAACTGAGTTTGTGTGTTTTGGGCATTTTTGAGGCTTTATTTATTCCACTACTGGCTGTTGAGCTAGCATGGAGCCTTGCTGGACCCGGTTTTGTTCATTTTCCTCAAGGGGCCTTCTGGATTGTTCAGGGCTGTTTTGCGCTCACAAGCCCGAGAGCAGCATTGATAAACTCTTGACCTATGGGGGGTGTCCCATTTGAGAGGCAATCTGGCATCCAGTCGGCGAGTCCGGGTCGGCACTAGTCCTGCAAATTAACACGGAGCCACAGTTGGCTTTCAGGAGAGTAGCATGAAGCCTGGGCATTTTCAGGTATGGGTTTGGGAGGTATTTTGTTATAAGATGTGTATGTTTGACAGCAGGGCCCAAACTCCAACGATGTTGTGATTAGGGTGGGACCCCCCCCAATATTGAGGTTTTGTTTGTGGTTTCCCTTTCAAGAACGCACTCAGATCAGAATTTCTTTGCTCACTTCTGAAGCAGATCTTTTGGCTTCCTAGAGTAGGTCATTTGTTAGTCCCGGGCGCCGAAAAGTTAATCTTGTTTTCGTTTTTTTGGGCGAGTGAGTGTTGGTTTCCCTATCCAGTGTATGTATTTTTGCACCACCTTAAGAAATTGGGAAGTCACAGCAAGAAATAACACATATTTTCCCATGGTCGACTGAATTTTGCTTCATGTGAATTGTTTCAGCAAGGTTCCATGCAAAAAAATGCAAGATGATCCATGAGTTCCTGGACTTTATGCCTTGTGGGAAAGCCATTTTACTGGTAAACATAAACAGGGCTCCTTAAAAGACACATTTTGCAACCATGTGAAACATGTTGCTTTTTCCACCTTTGAATAAAGGGAAACCACCATTTGCAAGTTGCAATGGTGTATAATGCATCCGGATCCCTGAAGTTCGGACTTTGGCCAATCCACTCAGGAAGTGAGCCTTTGTCCAACCGAGGGCAGTGACCGGTCACGCTCTCCGAAAGAGCGCTCTCCCCCGGCGCCTGCGCTGGAGCCGCCGGTTCCTCCGCACAGGACGCCTCGGGGTGGGGTTGCTCGCTGCGCCTGTGAACACTATGCTTCCATTGGCTTAAGAATATTTTTTTAGTTCCCCCTGTTGGTTTTAAAGGGAATATATCCCTACTGGACATATTTTTATTTTTTCCAGGGGTCTTAACCAAATGGAAGTATGCCGCTGGCCAGACAGAACACATCACCCATAAAGGAAACCGGTGTGTTGACCATGGCACATGTAGTCCCAACAGGCGCGAGGGAGGAAGGTGCCGACACCAACGTGCCTAGGCCTAGCTTTGCTGCAAACGAAAGGCCAGAATACAATCCAAGGGCCTGAAAGGGCAGTCAACAAAAGCTTTATGGCAGTTTTCTGGGAGAGGAACATCAACCAAAACGAAGCCACGTGGTTGGTTAGAGTTTAACCCCCATGAGCCTCATTGATTTCCTCAGTCAAGTCGTCACCGACCCCACCCCGCCAAGTAGCGGGCCCTCAAGGGAAACTGGATGACCCCAAATCAATGATATCCATTCTTGAGAACCGCCCAAGGGGGGCATCAGCCTACAACCCCGTTTTGAGACACTTCAAGGAGGGGCTATGAATGGAATCGCAACCCTGAGCTGGTGGTTTGGAAGGGAGCCAAGGAGCCATCCAAATTCCTTCAAGAGTGGCTACGGAGCTAGGAGCTTGGTGAGGAAATTCTCAGATGATTAAGGCAAGCAGAACCATGACTATGGGCCCGGACCTTGCAAGTGGAGGACATCCTCGCCGCCCTGGAACAGGGGTCGACCCCTTTCTCCCATGTCAGTGGTTGCATCACCTTTTGTGATGCCTGCGGGAACATGCTTTTGTCCCACTCAAGGCTTTTAACGAAACGACTCTGAAGGCTTTATGTTAGTCCAACCCTGCCACAGATCCCTATGCTTCCCCGTTACAAACTTCACGAGGAGACGCATCTAAAGTGGTTCTTATCTCTTAAAAACACAACTTTTCAACTTTTTGGGTAACATGGGCTATGTGTCTGTAAAAGATTAACTTCCCCAGGGCTTGGAGTTTTAAGGGGTAAGGGTTGGGTCATGTTTCAAGCGGAAAGGAGTGACCCCCAGACCCCCGGGGTGCATGATCCTTTAAGCTCCCCGCATCCACAAGGAGCAGCGATGACCTGCTGGTGATGCTGGAGGCGCGCTTCACCCTTCGTGGCGAGGGCTGCCTTGGGTTGGGGCCAAGGCTGCTTGCTTCGTTTCTCCGGCCACCTCTACTGTTTCCAGAGAGGAAATGGGAAACCCAGAGTTGGCCGCCCAACCAGCGACCTTTGAGGGGCTAGGCTTCTTGAGTGCTTGGACCTTTTTTTACGCTTCTGCCTGTATTGGCAAACAACAAGTTTGGGGTATCTTTTTGGTGCCAACCCACTTAGAGAGTGAGTGTGTACATACCTAGACTGTCCTTCCGACCCTTTTAAAATGGTTGGTCATGACCCGAATCTTTCTTTTGCGTAGTCCGACCAACCATTGTTACAGGCTCAGATTCGGTTATGCTGTCTAGGTCCCCCAGTAGTGCCTTTTTCACCCCCTTTTTTGGTTGGGAGGGTTCCCCTACTGAAATAGACTACAGAAGAAAGGGTACCCTTTTTGTAACCTCTCAAATCTGGAGGACCTAGCTGTTGATGGACCGAAAAATCCCGCCCGTCCGGATCGGCGGTGTGTCCATTTCGCGGATTTGTTTTTCGTCCGCCAGGTGGGCGGCAAGGCTGAGACGCAGGCGCAGGCGGGGTTCGAAGCAGTTTGAAGGTTGGATAGTCACGGGTCGGTGGGTGGAATGTTGACGTGGTCTTCCATTTCTTTTTTTTTTTGTGTTGTGGTAGGCAGTCCACTTTTGGAGGGGACCACCCCCGCAAAAAAATAAAATAAGCAGGGGTTGATTAATACTCGTAGTGTTGAATGGCGCGGGGGTCTTTTTGCCGCCTTTTGTGGAACAATGATCGACCCGTAGTGAAGGATTCCTTTTTGAGGGTGTCGCCAATTTTCTCACACAAGGTGGCAAAAAGACACCACTGTTGAATGGAGGAGCATTGCGTTTTTTTTTGTGGCAATGAAGGGTTGGGTCAGGTCGATTGGAGGGTGGTGGTTTGTTTGTGCTGCAAATCATGGAAGAACCGCCCGCCCGCTGGCTCTTGGTTTGGCTCCCTTCCCGAGCCGCAAATCGCCAAGCATCGCCAAGCTAGCAAGTGGGATGTTGCGAATGTGTGGGAGTTTCCTGGTTGCTTCAGTGAGCCACTCACCAAACCTGAGTCCCGTTTCGCACTTGATTGTCACTTTTCGGGGTTGGGAAGGCAATGCTAGTGGTGAACACTCAGGAAAATGAGGCCACCCGGCAGCCCGCGGAGCTTGATCGAAAGCAAGCCGCGACACAGTCTTCTCGGCTGGGCTTGCGGTTTCTCTCACCATCTGCATGGAAGCTTGCACCCCAAATGCTTTGTTGATTGCTTCGAAGGAATTGTTCCCTGTGAAGGAACTGAGGACCATTTGGGCCATGGACTCTCCTAGTGCTTCTTCGGGGGTTGCTCTGCCCATTTTGGGATTCCTATGTTTTTGAGAGAGCCGGAAATGAAGGCTGCGTCGCACGGCAGGACCCGCACGTTCTCTCGTCCGCTGCCGCCGCCGCCAACCGGGCGGCGGGGCTGGAGACGGGTGGCGAATTGGAGGCGTCGGAGGGTGGCAAATGCAAACTTTTTCGCCAGGTTTCCTCCATTCCCTTTTTGGAACCTCCCAAAGCGACAGTTTCAAGGGAAACCGCGAGCAACTTGCAACTTTGGAAGGGGAATTCCAGTGACCCCTGATTAAAGACCACCTGTTGTGAAGTGGGTTCCCTTTTGGTGGGTTGATATGTTTAAGAGAAGACACGGTGTCGTTCTGTTGAGGGTGCCATTTTGTGTTGCTTTCAAGGGAAACCAAAGGAACACCGGGAATGAGTTGTGGTTACCTCCCCCAATCTGGAAGCCGTCAGGGCACGCCTTATCGCTGGGGGAGAGGGGTCGGTTCCGGGTGGACACCACTCTAAGCCTAAAAAAGCGGCGCCCTCAACCAGCATGGAACCTATATTACAAATATATATATATATATATGTACAGGTATGGTCCAGTCCTTGGCCCAATGGTCGTGCTCAGTCAAGAGGTAGCTTTCCACCCCCCTTTTTTTCACCCCGCCCCTGGATGGACCCATACCAGGGGGGGGGGGGGTTGGGGACGACGGGTGAAGGGAATACATTTGCTTAATAATATGTTTAGTTTCTCCTGTTGGGTGTCAAGGTCATCTAGCACTACTGGATTGTTTTTTTTCCACGGGACTTAAGCAAATGGATGTCAATGTCACAGGACCATTCGGGAAGAGGACTTTCCTAGAGGTTCCTGATGGGCTTCCAAGTTAGCTGGGAGGCGAAAGCATTGTGCAGGCGCTAGTTGTGAATATTTCCTGCTCATTCGCCAAACGACCGTACCCTTTTCCGCCAGGGGGGGGGGGGGGGCGGGTTGCTCCCGAAAGACCATGTTGGGATTCCTATGTTTTTTGGAGAGACGGAAATGAAAGCCACGTCGCACGGCAGGATCCGCACGTTCTCTCGTCCGCTGCCGCCGCCGCCAACCGGGCGGCGGGGCTGGAGACGGGTGGCGAATTGGAGGCGTCGGAGGGCGAATGCAAACTTTTTCGCCAGGTTTCCTCCATTCCCTTTTTGGAACCTCCCAAAGCGACAGTTTCAAGGGAAACCACGAGCAACTTGCAATTTTGGAAGGGGAATTCCAGTGACCCCTGATTAAAGACCACCTGTTGTGAAGTGGGTTCCCTTTTGGTGGGTTGATATGTTTAAGAGAAGACACGGTGTCGTTCTGTTGAGGGTGCCATTTTGTGTTGCTTTAAAGGGAAACCAAAGGAACACCGGGAATGAGTTGTGGTTACCTTCCCCAATCTGCAACCGTTCGGGCACGCCTTTTCCCCGGGGTTGGTTCCCCTACCATGCGGGTGGTGTCCCTTTAGACCACTGTCCAAGCCCAAACAAAAATGATAAATGAATAAGTAAGTAAATGAAGAACACGCACCAATTCCTTCCATTTGCTTAATAATATGTTTAGTTTCTCCTGTTGGGTTTCAAGGTCATCTAGCACTACTGGATTGTTTTTTTTCCACGGGACTTAAGCAAATGGATGTCAATGTCAGGACCATTCGGGAAGAGGACTTTCCTAGAGGTTCCTGATGGGCTTCCAAGTTAGCTGGGAGGCGAAAGCATTGTGCAGGCGCTAGTTGTGAATATTTCCTGCTCATTCGCCAAACGAACCGTACCCTTTTCCGCCGGGGGGGGGGGGCGGGTTGCTCCCGAAAGACCATGTTGGGATTCCTATGTTTTTTGGAGAGACGGAAATGAAAGCCACGTCGCACGGCAGGATCCGCACGTTCTCTCGTCCGCTGCCGCCGCCGCCAACCGGGCGGCGGGGCTGGAGACGGGTGGCGAATTGGAGGCGTCGGAGGGCGAATGCAAACTTTTTCGCCAGGTTTCCTCCATTCCCTTTTTGGAACCTCCCAAAGCGACAGTTTCAAGGGAAACCACGAGCAACTTGCAATTTTGGAAGGGGAATTCCAGTGACCCCTGATTAAAGACCACCTGTTGTGAAGTGGGTTCCCTTTTGGTGGGTTGATATGTTTAAGAGAAGACACGGTGTCGTTCTGTTGAGGGTGCCATTTTGTGTTGCTTTAAAGGGAAACCAAAGGAACACCGGGAATGAGTTGTGGTTACCTTCCCCAATCTGCAACCGTTCGGGCACGCCTTTTCCCCGGGGTTGGTTCCCCTACCATGCGGGTGGTGTCCCTTTAGACCACTGTCCAAGCCCAAACAAAAATGATAAATGAATAAGTAAGTAAATGAAGAACACGCACCAATTCCTTCCATTTGCTTAATAATATGTTTAGTTTCTCCTGTTGGGTTTCAAGGTCATCTAGCACTACTGGATTGTTTTTTTTCCACGGGACTTAAGCAAATGGATGTCAATGTCAGGACCATTCGGGAAGAGGACTTTCCTAGAGGTTCCTGATGGGCTTCCAAGTTAGCTGGGAGGCGAAAGCATTGTGCAGGCGCTAGTTGTGAATATTTCCTGCTCATTCGCCAAACGAACCGTACCCTTTTCCGCCGGGGGGGGGGGGCGGGTTGCTCCCGAAAGACCATGTTGGGATTCCTATGTTTTTTGGAGAGACGGAAATGAAAGCCACGTCGCACGGCAGGATCCGCACGTTCTCTCGTCCGCTGCCGCCGCCACCAACCGGGCGGCGGGGCTGGAGACAGGTGGCGAATTGGAGGCGTCGGAGGGCGAATGCAAACTTTTTTGTTTCCTACATTTCCCTTTTTGGAACCTCCAAGAGTGGCACTTTCAAGGGAAACCACAAGTAAATTGCAACTTTGGAAGGGGACATCCAGGGACCCCTGACCCTTGGGTTTAAAGTTCAGCTTTTGGGGCTAATTTGAAGTGCTGTTGGGCTGATGTGTTTGGAAATCATCTGGAAACCTATTAAAGGGGTAAGGGTAAGGGGAATGAGTCTTAGTGGCCACCTTTTCTTTGGGGGGTTGAGTCCCCAACGATGCGGGCGAGTTTCTTCACCCCTCCCCCCCCTTTTAAGGCGCCCTCGAAAAAACAAAGAGCCATCCCTCAACCGGGCGATCCAGGCGCCAGCCGATCGGCTGGAGCTCGCGATTGATATCGCACCGGCGCCCATGACCCCGCCAGCCGCTGGGCAAACAGATTTACCAGGGATGCAACCCTGGTTCTGTTTTTTTTTTTTTTTTTTTTTTTTTTTTTTTTAAATAAAATATGAAACCTGATTGATGAAGAGGGGGTGCCCCTTTTAGTGGGGATTCGTCACTTTGGGAGGGGACAATCTCCCTGTTAGGAGGGGCTAAGCAAATCTGGGGCCAACATATTACCCCCCAGCACAAGTCCCAGAAGTGGGTTCAAGCCACGGTTGCTGACCACTACGTCCCAGACCACTTGGGAACTCTATGGCAAGCTGGGGGCGGAAGGTCCTGGGCTTCGGGATTCCATGTTCTGTGTTCAGATTTTGTGTTTGTAAGACATTGTGAATTCTTCCCCGGAAGTAGTTCCCCTTTCTCATTTTGTGATTTTTTGGGGGTCCCCTTTGTTTTCGACTAACCAGGCAGAAAGTATAGTTTATGCTTGGGTCCTAATTCCAGTCAAGAAGTATGTCTCTTGGGGTTCTCTTAGGGAGTTGTGTTCAGGAGATGCTTTAGTAGGAAGGGACGCCTTTTAGGGTTGCCTGAGAGAATGCGTTTGCTGCAAAGGTATGTAAAGGTGCTTCACAAATGGGGAGCTCCTCTGACTAGGAGGAAGGGATTGCGTGTTTCAGTCTCTGATTTTGACATAGGTTGGCTGGGGCATGCCCATCGTTTCGCGGTGCCCGAAAGGTGCAGATGGAGTGCAGCTGGATCACCGGCAGCGTCTCGCGGCCATTGGAGCAGCTGATGTTCGGGGAGTCCCCGCGCAAAGTGAACCGCGGGAGCCACATCATCCGGGAGCTCCTGGATACCCCGCCCGACAGGCCTGAGCCCCGGCCAAAGATGCCGGCAAGGCCAGTGAGGCCAAAAGCTGCGCCAAAAGCGCGCGTGCGCGTTCCCGCGCCGGTGCCCGCGCAAGCGCCCGCGCCGGTGCCCGCGCAAGTGCCCGCGCCGGTGCCCGCGCCGGTGCTCACGCCGGTGCTCACGCCAGTGGCGTCCAGGCCCCAAATGCCCGGCGCGCCCTGCTCGCTCGGCGCGCCCTGCGCGCTCGGCGCGCGCGGCTGCCGCGCGCCGATGGCGAGCCGGACGCCGCCGGGCCGCGCGCGGCGCGCCATGTGGTTTCTGGAGCAGCCCACAGCCAATGCGATGCACACCGAGCTCAGCCGCCTGGCCAACGACGAGGAAGCTTTCCTGGACGCGGCTTTGGAGGCACGTTTTCCCACGGAGTGTTAGAGCCATACCTGTGGAATACAACATTTGTTTGATCCTGCAGAAGCAAGGGATCCGAAAGGGCAGGCGAAAACGGCATGTGGCGTGGACATTGGTAAACGTATATCTTCGAGCCGAGGTTCCACTTCTGACTATTAATGAACCCCCCCCCGGCCAAAAGGTCTCTGCCTTTATATAAGTTGGTCATGAAGGCACTTCCCAGTCAATTGTTGTACTTCACCCGCTTCCCTTATGTTTGGTTTTCCAATGCCATGCGGGCTGTTCCAACTTTCACAGGGTTGGGTCACAGGATATGCTACAGGCACACCGCCTATGTACGGCCATTTCCTGGATGTTTATGTAACCAAACGATTTGAACGGAACGTCTATTTCATTTTCCATCAGCCAAACCCGTTGAAAGGTCCAACTTCCCGCTAATGTTAACCCCGGATCAATAAAGGGAAGTGATCCACCCCCACTTTCTTGGTCCGGCTAGGGACCCAGGATCTAAGTAGAACCCGCCTGAGGGTCTCGATTGTTTTTGGGCTACCATTGGGCCCCTTGAGGAATTGGTCGGGGTTCCCCATTGGAGGGTCCGGGGGTCATGACCCTTAGGGCGTCCCATTCTTAGGGTATTCCCTCCAAAAGTGGTTTGAATCCCCAACCCAGTTGCGGAAGCCGTGCGGAGGAGGCGCTCTGCAGCCTGCGGCGCCGCGGCGTGCTGGGCGCCGGCCCCGCCGCGGCCGCACAGCTCCTGGCGGACTTCTCCGCCGCGCTGGGCGCCTCGCGGCTCGGTGCATCGGAGGAGATGTGCTGCACCGCGCGGGGGCAGGTGGTTTTTGGCGAGGCGGGCTTTTCAGGCATATAGGCTTCCACTTGCTGATGTTATTTTATTATATAGATATATAGTTGTTCTCCTGTTGGTTTTACAGGGAATCTATCACTATTGGAAATATGTATATTTTTTCTCCAGGGATCTTAACCACATGGAATTATACGGTACACCCCCCCCCCCCTACGGGTACACACACCCATCAAACTCAAGCAGGGGTTTTGCTTAATCTCAGGTTAGACTTGCAGATTTGAAGCTCTGGTTCTTGTAGAGGGTAAATGGGAAACCACCCCTTAACCACCACACCCATCCAAGCCACCGACTAGGGGAAGCTGATCATTGGACCCTCCCTGGGTTTGGATCTCGACTGGAAGGTTTTGGATCTCAACAAAGGGCCTTTTGGTCTCCATCGTAGGGTTCACCAAATTCAGGGATGGCACAGACTCTGCCAAGATGTTGGGTTTCCTGCCAAGCACAAACAAGTTGACGAATGCCCTTTAAACACCCCGCTCGATATGCGGGACAGAGTGCGGGACAAACTGCTGGACAAACAACTGTCCGGCAAGTTGTCCGGGGGGTTGTCCGGAGGGTTGTCCGCGCACTTTGCCGAGATTCATGCTGCAAACCCCCGTGGTTTCCGAGTGGTTTTGGGTCCCGAGTGGTTTCGGAGTGGTTTCCAAGCGGTTTCCGAGAACTGTTTGAAGACTTGTTCGGGGGTTTGCCCCGGCTTTTTGGGCCCTCAAAGCTGTCCGGACGATGTTCGAGGGTATGTCCGGCTGTTTGTCCCGGGCTTTTGGGCCCTCAAAGCTGCCTGGAGGATTGTGCGGGGGGTTTGTCCGGGGAGTTGCCCGGCCGATTTTGTGCCCTCAAAGCAGTCCGAGGCCCGTTTGGACTCAGGATATGAAAGCAGGTGTGTATGCAGAACCGCCTCTGTCAAGTGACAAGTGACAAGTCCATTGTGGAGGGAGAGTTGGCAAAACCATGTTAGACCAATACATGGGTAGAGAATACCTGAGACCTGCGGGGCCGCCTTTTACCCTTGTTTTGTTTCATGGTGGAAGTGATGTTTCAGGGGGACAGGGTTTCAAGGCAAGCACATGTCTTACACCAATTGTGCGGGGCGCACGTTTGGAAGCCCAAGCGTCGTCTGGGCGTCTTTCCGGCCACTGAGTTCAACTGGGGCATGCCATGTCCGAGATCGGCGAAGGGGTTGTACCCCAAGCAGTTCAAGGGGATACCGCCCGCTCTTTCTTGCCCAGAATTTCCGACAATTGCTAAGCCAAAAGGATGTCTCACTCCCTGAGTTCCGTTTCGATGTCAGTGCTAAATATAAGGTTTGGGGACATGTTCTGGGCCATGCACTCAGGAGGTGAGAAGGGCAATGGACTAAACAAGTCCCGAGGCTGGAGTCGCTGCGCTGTGTGCCGCTGGATGGGGACCTACACCGAATGCTGCCACCAGAGCTGTTGGGAGACCCGCGCGTCTCTGCGGCACGCCTGCCGTCCAGGAGTCGGGGAGTAAGGATACAGTTTCTCAATTGTTCAAAACGAATCGACCTTTTGACCTTTTGGTTTTCCAATTTTGGTCCATATGTAGTCATAGTCCCAAAAGGTTAACCTTGTATTCCTGTATTTTCCTGTATCCTTTGGGCACTGAGGTTTCGAATGGGGATCCTCCAAATCAGCTGGCACTTGGATGTCCAGCCAACGTGTTATGGCTATAACTTGGGTAACTGGCATTTGTCACCGTATAACCATAGCTATAGCCTACTTACTCAGTTGGTTGGACATCCAAGTAAAGGTGGGTTTCAAAGTGGCCCAACGGTATCCAGGTGTCCTGTGGAAGAGGATCATGAAAGGAAGAGTCTTCACACACACACATATATATATATATAAATATGGAGGGCGGCAACGCTCTTGCGAAGCCTGACGCGTCATCTTCGTCGGCGTTTGTTTTCAGGTCATCACAGTGCGTCCGCTCGGCTTGCACTTGGCAGTCAAAAATCGGGTAACCCCAAAATGGCTTGCCCTGGTCGATGGAACGAAGGACCTGCGGTCCAATCTCAGCTGGTTTCATTTTGGCCCATACCCATCTTGCTGGTGCCCACTTGGTACCCCACCCCTTGTGGCTTCCTTTAAAGGAATCACCGGGTCCAGTCCCTCATTCCCTGCCTATCGCACCGGCAAGCCATTTCTCTCCGAAGCCAATCGAAGCCGCGCGCGTTTCGCAGGAACGGCAAAGGGGGGGAGCTGGCCGGGGCCGCGCTGTGCCGCGCAAAAGGGGTGGTGACCCAGATCTTGGATGCCATGGCACCGGTGGTCTTTAAGCTTCTCGGAGGGGTCTAGCAGGTGTGGGTTTGTGTATTTGCTTTTAATGGGGAACGCCTTTGACTGATTCAAGCACATGAACCACAACGACTTTGTTGCCCAATCTGACTGGTTTTAAGGGAAAGCCAAAGCATGAACCACAGCTTTGCCCGTTTTTTCAGCCAAACCCATTGGCCGAGGATCGGCATCACCTGCACGCCGCTCGTGCGTTGGCGCGCCTACGACAGGGAGGGCTACCAACAGATGCACTTGCTGCATGTGACGGAGGAGCCTGGATTGGTGCAGATGCTCGAGGCAGCAGCTGAGTCTGAAGTTAACGTCCATTTGCTTAAGAATATTCTATATTTTCCCTTGTTGGTTTTAAAGGGAATGTATCACTACTGGGAAATATTTTTCCAGGGCGCTTCAGCAAATTGAAGTTAAGAGCGAAGACTCCACCCTTAGCGAAGAAGTTAACACTAGGTCCCCGAGTAGTGCCCTTCTCACCCCTTTTTTGGTTCCCTGCTAAAATAGACTACAGAGAAAAGTTGGTGCCCTTCTTCTAGCCTCTCCACTGGAGGACCTAGAAGAGTTAAGACTCCACCCTTTGCGAATTCCTCCCAAACATGGTTGTTGTTGGAAAGCATTCTACATTTTTGCTTATTGTGGTTTAGAGGTGGGTATCCAACCACTTAACTGCTATTCTTTTTAAGTTTTTGCTCCCCTTCCAACGTCAACCAAGCCAAATCCTGTTTTGCTTGGCTTACAAATCTGGGCTCAACCCAAAAGGGTTATCAATTTTGCTACAGCTGGGTTGCCCAGTAGTGCCCTTTGACCCCTTTTTTAGGGGAGAGTTCCCAGACTAAAATAGGCTACAGACAAAAGGGGACCCTTATTCTAACCTCTCTACTGGAAGACCTAGACAGTTTGTCACTGAACGGGTCGGGCGGGCATCACTGCCAGTATCCTTCCGGATTTTGTTTGGGTAAAAAGTGTCGAGCTCAGGGGGGTAAAACGAGCTATCTCATGATGAAGGTCCTGTGGTAGGGGTTCACTTGTTTGGTCAATCTAAGAGCACATCGAAAAGCCAAGGAAAGGTACCCTCCCACCAATGAACATGGAACCTGACAGAAGGTCCCTTTAAAAGGAAAATGGTTTTCCAGGACCCCGTTAGGTCCCATGTTGATTGGTTATGCCAGCGACAAACGAACCCGCCCCCAGAAACCGCCTCAAACCTGGAGGGACGGCTGAAAATCGATTGGAATTGCCCAGCGCGCCAAGTAACAAGGTGTTGCTTTGGAAATAACCGCGCAGCGGGCAATTTGATTTGAGAATCCCAGGGTGCAACAGAAAGACTGCGGGCAATTTGAATTGAGTGGAATCCCAGGGTGCACCACAAAGACTTTGTGCTCAAGGCTCCATATGGACGGTGTAAAGGGAACAGTCAAACAGGGGAATTGGGGATCATTGTTTGGCTTGAATGCGTCAGACTTGGACACAGAAAATGGGCCTGCAATTCCTTGACTGCTATTGGGTTGGATCTTTAGACTTATTTTTTTTTGGAAATAACGGTGTTTTCCACTAAACCCCCAAAAAGTCAACCTTGTTGCAGGGGGGTCAACAGCAACCAAGATGCCGAATGTAGTTCCAAGTGTCGCTCCCTCCAGTCACAGAGCTGACAGCAGGGTTTTGGAAGCTTTTTGGGGGGCCTCCAGCCCACTTCCACACTTGGAACGACGAACAATTTATGTCTCGCGGTCACGGGAAGCTGAGGAGATCGGGGAATTGGCGCCCGCCCATCCTAAGCTCGAAGACTTCTCTGCTCCAATGAGTGGTTGGTGTTCTGAAAGTGGGTTCCCTGGTGGAGTTTCTTGGGCGGGCGGAAGGAAATTCGGAACATGTCGGAACACCATGTTACTGCTTGCGGGCCTCCATGTCCAGTTTTGGAAAATGGGGGGGGTCGAGCTGAAACGGCAAGGAGTTGCAAGGAGATGGATGGTAAGTGTGAAGGCTTCATCGGGGGAGTCGGATGCTTTGGAGGTGGGGCTTGCAACCATGGCTTTGGTGGGCAACCGGGGTAATGTGCTTGGGGGTGTCATGGAAGCTGAAAGGTCACTTTGCAGCAAAGAGCCCCAAAAACCAATCGGGGACGCGGGGGGGGGGGGGGGGGCAAGGTTGCGCTCGGGTCTCCTCTTCTGTGCACCTGAGGCACTGATCTCGGAGTTTCAGGGCAGATCTGGGTGCCGAAACGTTGCGAAAGGTGGAGAAGGCTGGGAGGAACGTGGCGCACGAAAATCGTATCCCTAGCAGCTGTTAGGCTGTGGCCTGCCCAATTTCTTCAGTTTGAGTAGGGACAACACCAAGAAACAAGAACACCCTAGCTGCTTTCAAGCAGTGGCTTTCCCAGTGTCTTTAGTTTGCGTAGGAACAAGAAAAAAACAAGAAAAGAACAGCCTGGCTGCTTTCCCAGTTTCTTCAGTTCGCGTAGGAACAAAACCAAAAAACAACAACAGCCTAGCTGCTTCCAAGCTGTAGCGTGCCCAGTTTCGCCAGTTCGCGTAGGAAGAACTAGCTAATTGTAAGCTGTGGCTTGCACGGTTTCCAAAACCAAACAATTAACACACCCTTGCAGCTTGCCCAGTTTGCTCCAGTTTGTGCATTCGGCAATTGACCGACGCTTGCTCGTTATTGATTAGCGGCATGGCGCCGGCAGAGCGCGCACAGCGTAAAACAGCGCAGGCAGCGTAAGCAGCAGAGGCAGCAGAATTATTAAGCGCAGGCGTAGACAGCGCAGGAAGCGGGGCAGGTTGACAGCGTGAAACTGTAAGGAGCAAAAGGGCCGTGACACGGTTGGCACCCACCCTCTACAATATTATGGGTGTGTGTTGCTTTGACGGGGACCCCTCATGGTGGTTTTCCTGCAGCCTCCCCTTCAAAAGCAGAAACACAATGGGTTTCCGTCCACACTCATTTTCCAGCGAACTCTCTGGCTTTTAGGGACACATTGCCCAATCCGCGGTCCCACTTGTTACAGCTTGCAAGGGAGTTTTAAAAAAAGGGGAAAAAGCAAGAAAGACAATAAAACAAGGAAGTCCTTTCATGAGTGAGAAGTGTTTTCCATGTTTTTCTGAGTTTGCCGTTTACGAAAGGGAGGGGATGTACCCCAACAGGACCCTTGCTCGTACGCTACCCTGCGTGACGCGGAAATCATCCCGCTGGTTGGCGCTTTCCCCATACAAAATGTTGCCGAGAACGTCGTAACGAGCTTGTCCGTGAAGGTTGCATGGCTCGAGATTCATTGTTTCAGGCCTATGAATCAAAGTAGTGTGTGTAGAATCCTTATCCCTCCAACTTCTCCAAACACATTGGTTATCTCAGGCTTATGAATCCCAGTAATTGGTGCGCTAGCTTGATCGGGCTCAATTTGGTCAAGCACAGGTGAAATCTCAGATTTCTACTGGGTTTGGCGGTTGGGTTTCCACCCAACCCACCAAAAAACAGTTGTCAAACTTTGGGCACATAGGGGCTTTCTGGTCTCGTTTTTTGTTTTGGGCCACGTGGTAAACCATCCATTCCCCCTTGAACCGAAAGACAAAGACGAAAGAGGACAGCCTCCCCTTAGTTCTTTTTGGGTTTGTAGTTGGTTTCAGTGGTTGGGTTTCCGAATTTATCCCCACTAAAGGTTAAGCTTGCAGCAGTGGATCCGAAAACGGAACGGAGAGCCCAGTTTTCGTAAATCGTCGCTGGCACCAGGCCCGGTGGGGCGGGGCCCCTACTTCGCCTATTTGGTGGTGGTGTCCTGCGGCGGGGGCGAGCTTCTGAAGAAGCCCCGCAGGCAAGCCCGCCGGGATCGCGGTGGGCAGTGGCCTCCATCTTCGTTTCAGAAGATGTTGAATTGTCCTTTGTTGGTTTTAAAGGGAATCTATCACTATGTTTATTGGATCGTTTATCGGGTGTGTCTCAAAGTGGTGTGTGTGTGTGTGTGTGGTTGTGTGTGTGTGTGTGTGTCCGTGTGTCCGTGTGTCCGTGTGTCCGTGTGTCCGTGTGTCCGTGTGTCCGTGTGTCCGTGTGTCCGTGTGTCCGTGTGTCCGTGTGTCCGTGTGTCCGTGTGTCCGTGTGTCCGTGTGTCCGTGTGTCCGTGTGTCCGTGTGTCCGTGTGTCCGTGTGTCCGTGTGTCCGTGTGTCCGTGTGTCCGTGTGTCCGTGTGTCCGTGTGTCCGTGTGTCCGTGTGTCCGTGTGTCCGTGTGTCCGTGTGTCCGTGTGTCCGTGTGTCCGTGTGTCCGTGTGTCCGTGTGTCCGTGTGTCCGTGTGTCCGTGTGTCCGTGTGTCCGTGTGTCCGTGTGTCCGTGTGTCCGTGTGTCCGTGTGTCCGTGTGTCCGTGTGTCCGTGTGTCCGTGTGTCCGTGTGTCCGTGTGTCCGTGTGTCCGTGTGTCCGTGTGTCCGTGTGTCCGTGTGTCCGTGTGTCCGTGTGTCCGTGTGTCCGTGTGTCCGTGTGTCCGTGTGTCCGTGTGTCCGTGTGTCCGTGTGTCCGTGTGTCCGTGTGTCCGTGTGTCCGTGTGTCCGTGTGTCCGTGTGTCCGTGTGTCCGTGTGTCCTGTGTGTCTCTGTGTGTCTCTGTGTGTGTCTCTGTGTCTCTGTGTCTCTGTGTCTCTGTGTCTCTGTGTCTCTGTGTCTCTGTGTCTCTGTGTCTCTGTGTCTCTGTGTCTCTGTGTCTCTGTGTCTCTGTGTCTCTGTGTCTCTGTGTCTCTGTGTCTCTGTGTCTCTGTGTCTCTGTGTCTCTGTGTCTCTGTGTCTCTGTGTCTCTGTGTCTCTGTGTCTCTGTGTCTCTGTGTCTCTGTGTCTCTGTGTCTCTGTGTCTCTGTGTCTCTGTGTCTCTGTGTCTCTGTGTCTCTGTGTCTCTGTGTCTCTGTGTCTCTGTGTCTCTGTGTCTCTGTGTCTCTGTGTCTCTGTGTCTCTGTGTCTCTGTGTCTCTGTGTCTCTGTGTCTCTGTGTCTCTGTGTCTCTGTGTCTCTGTGTCTCTGTGTCTCTGTGTCTCTGTGTCTGTCTGTGTCTCTGTGTCTCTGTGTCTGTGTCTCTGTGTCTCTGTGTCTCTGTGTCTCTGTGTCTCTGTGTCTCTGTGTCTCTGTGTCTCTGTGTCTCTGTGTCTCTGTCTCTGTGTCTCTGTGTCTCTGTGTCTCTGTGTCTCTGTGTCTCTGTGTCTCTGTGTCTCTGTGTCTCTGTGTCTCTGTGTCTCTGTGTCTCTGTGTCTCTGTGTCTCTGTGTCTCTGTGTCTCTGTGTCTCTGTGTCTCTGTGTCTCTGTCTCTGTGTCTCTGTCTCTGTGTCTCTGTGTCTCTGTGTCTCTGTGTCTCTGTGTCTCTGTGTCTCTGTGTCTCTGTGTCTCTGTGTCTCTGTGTCTCTGTGTCTCTGTGTCTCTGTGTCTCTGTGTCTCTGTGTCTCTGTCTCTGTGTCTCTGTGTCTCTGTGTCTCTGTGTCTCTGTGTCTCTGTGTCTCTGTGTCTCTGTGTCTCTGTGTCTCTGTGTCTCTGTGTCTCTGTGTCTCTGTGTCTCTGTGTCTCTGTGTCTCTGTGTCTCTGTGTCTCTGTGTCTCTGTGTCTCTGTGTCTCTGTGTCTCTGTGTCTCTGTGTCTCTGTGTCTCTGTGTCTCTGTGTCTCTGTGTCTCTGTGTCTCTGTGTCTCTGTGTCTCTGTGTCTCTGTGTCTCTGTGTCTCTGTGTCTCTGTGTCTCTGTGTCTCTGTGTCTCTGTGTCTCTGTGTCTCTGTGTCTCTGTGTCTCTGTGTCTCTGTGTCTCTGTGTCTCTGTGTCTCTGTGTCTCTGTGTCTCTGTGTCTCTGCGTCTCTGCGTCTCTGTGTCTCTGTGTCTCTGTGTCTCTGTGTCTCTGTGTCTCTGGGTGTCTGTGTGTCTGTGTGTCTGTGTGTCTGTGTGTCTGTGTGTCTGTGTGTCTGTGTGTCTGTGTGTCTGTGTGTGTGTGTGTGTTTTTGTTGAAGGGTACCCATTTTTGGCAGGGATTTTAAAGGGAAACTAGAGGGAACACCATCATGAATCGGGCTCCAACCTTGAAAAAGACAGCTACAGGAATCGGACATTTAAATGGCAAGGGTTTTCGCGTCCCTTTACCGTAAAGGGGACCCCCCAAGAAGACGCTCTTTGGGGGGGCTCTCAAATTTACGTGTCACAGATCCTTAGGGGTAGACTTCGGCATTCTTCTTGACAGGCTGTCGCTTTCAGAACTGGGAAGGATTAATCCTCTTCATTTTTCTCGCGGCTGGCCCTTTTAGTTGGGAATATTTCAGTGTTCAGGGAATCTCCCTCGACTCCAGGCGGATTTATCTATCCGTCGAAGGAACAACAAAACGATCGGACATGGGGAAGAAGCTTGGATTATGTTGGCTCAGTTTGGGGCATCAAAGTCAGAAACTGGTTGGTGGTTTCCCTTCCACCCAGCACTAAACGGGTGTGACTTTGATAGTTGTAGCATCACGGGGCTTGTCGCCGCGCTCGGGGCGCCCTGGACCTGCCCCGAAACCAAAACCAAGGCAGCGTCACCCTGACGCTCGCAAGCTCTGGGTTTCTAAAACCGGGGGGGCCCACGCCTGGATGGATTTCCCCGAGCTGAGCTTGAGCATCTGCCAGCATCTGCCAGCCTTTCGAAGCAGAGCCGTGCCAGGATTAGGAGCCCCACGCCATGTTTGCAGAGTGGATGCCGTGGGTTTCTCGCTTTCGGAGTTTCCTTTTCGCATCAGCCTCAGCAACACAGAGTCAGGCAGGCCCGCGGTTTTTTTAATGCCGCGGCCACCCCAACTGGGTTTGGGGATCCCGCCGATTTGGAGCAACCCAGTTTATGAGCCACTTTTCGCGGGCGCGCGCCGCGCAGGACAGCCTGCAAGACCGCCGCAAAGCCCGACGCGAAAAGGCCGCGGGCTTCGGCGGCCACCCTTTTTGAAGGGGGGGGGGCGGGTTTGGAAAAGGGGTGCTAAGCCCCAAGGGAAGGAGGAGGAGATGTCTCACATGATTTAAATGTCATACCATAGTTGTTTGCGCCGCAAAGGAAGCCACAAGGGATAGTTCGTAAGCTTATCCAGACCCCTATAGCGCCCAACCAATGAGTGTAGAAGGAGCCCAAACAGGAAGGCTGCCTAACTTTGGCACAACTCCGAGCGACGATAAGGTTTTTCAGGGTGCAACCGGGTTCGATGTTGCCCCATTCTGGCCAACCAGGTGTAGGGAAAGCCAGCATGAGCAATTTGGCTTTCGGTTGCTACATTGCGTAAGTGGCCAAGGGAACCTTTTTTGCAGATCCTGCTTGCTGTCGCAGAAAGGCTGATGTTCGCCAACCACGACCCTTGAATTTCGAGACATACTGGGCGCGACCAAACCGGGAGCTGCTGTAGCTTGCAGGATGTCAACCTTCTTCGATTGACAAAGGGAATCAACGGAATTAAGCAGACCTCACAGGTCGCTTCAACGCACCTTGGACGACCGTTACCAGAGCTAATCGAAGGGCCCCGTGATGACAAGTCCTGCTTACAGGCGAAGTTATGTAGATGTCCCATGCATGGTTGTCAGCCCCCAACCAATGAAGGCACCCACCTAGGCCGTATTGGTCGCCAAAATAGCCCCTATTGGGATTGGGAATTGGCCCCATTTGGGGGGCCCTTGGCAACCATTGGAAGATGAGTTTGTGCAGGTCAGCGACTTGGCGTGGCCCATGTTCTTCCATGATCCGATATTTTTGGTTTGGGTACTTTGAGCAGGCAAGCGACTGGGGGTGGGGAATTTCACCTGGGCGAAACTCAGATCAGCCGTCCAAAAGCTGAGCCTTTCAGCTCGGCGCAGCTCGCCCGCTGAAAGGTGCTGCTCGCATGCCCCAAAGGGACATAGGCCATATCATAGATGCAATTCAGTGATTGGGGTATGTCCATTTAGGACCTTAGAACTGAGAGTTTAGGACCCTAGAACTGAGAGTGCCCCGCAAAAGAACTGCTGAGCCACCCGATGTCAGGTTGCCACAAACTGCAACAATCACAACAGCGCGCAATGCTAGGAGAGTCGGACAAGGTGCAGCTCTTGATGGACCTTTGTTTGATGAGCACCCAGCTGCGGTCGGTTTTTGCTTCTTTCTTCCTTTGGTAGGCTGTTTCAAAGGAAGCCAACGAGAATCTAGCTATTTCTTGCATGGTCTCGAATTTTGTCTAGGTTCCCCAGTGTTGCCCTTTTAAACTCCTTTTTTGGTTGGGAGGTTTCCCCTACTAAAATAGACTACAGGAGAAAAAAGATGCAGCCCACGAACCCGAATGCCTACATAAGTCTTAAATGGAAACGTGAGGTGTGAAATTCCCAGCGGCAGCTTGATGCAAGGTTGGAGAGATAAGTCTACAAGTGACACGTCGTGAGCGAAAAGTCTGAAGAGCCAAGTCTGGAGAGACAAGTTTGGGGAGACAAATCTTGGAGACATCTTGAGAGACAAGTGGAGAGAAAAGTCTTGAAAGACAAGTCTTGAGAGACAAGTTTGAGGAGACAAGTCTTGAGAGACAAGCTTGGAGAGACAAGTTTGAAGAGACAAATCTTAAGAGACAAGTTTGGAGAGAAAAGTCTTGAAAGGCAAGTCTTGACAGAAAAGTTTGGAGAGACGAGTTTGGAGAGAAAAGTCTTGAAGGACAAGTCTTGAGAGAAAAGTTTGGCCCGCAACACTTCTCATCGACGCTTCTCGTCGACCCTTCTGAGCGACACTTCTGAGAAAGGTCTCTCGCCACGTTTCTTGTCTCAAAATGCGCACCGCGCCACAGCAAGAGCGATTCGACCCATCCAAAGTGCGGAGAGGGTTCACTTTGCATTTTCAAAATGTGCGCCAGGCCACAGCGAGAGCGATTTGACCCACCCCAAGTGTGCACAGGGCTCACTTTGCATTTTCAAAAAGTGCACCGCGCCACAGCGAGAGCGATTCGACCCACCCAAAGTGCGCAGAGGGTTCGCTTTGCATTTTCAAATGTGTACAAAAAGGTTGAAAGTGCTGCGCCTGCCACGAAATCTGCACGAAAAGCTCTAAAGTGCTGCGCCTGTCACGAAAAATCACGTTACAGCGACACGCAAAACGCTCAAAATGCGCCTGCCACGAAATCATAATTTGACACTCTCGCACCGCGCGCGGGAAATTTCTTGCAAATCTGCAGTCTTGAGAACGAGCCGATTGTACAACAGGGCCAACAAAAACGACACTCCAGCAAACGCTTGCGCGAGCATTCCAAGCAAAACACCTCAAAACGACAAGCCCTGAAACGCGAATCCCACTGCATTTGCAGCGCAAACGTGAAGCTTCACGAAACACTGCGCGTGCGCAACGAAACGACACGTCGAGCTTGAGAAGCTACGGTTCGCTCACAGGGCCAACGAAAACAGCACATCACAAGTCATCAACCTCACGCGTTCTGCGCTTCCCCACTGGGAGAGCCATAGCGCAATCGTACGAACGGTTGCGAACGGATGCGAGCGGCTGCGAACGGTTGCGGACGGTTGCGGACGGTTGCACAACATCCGGCGAACAGGGCTTCACCCCCAGACCCCCAAGATGAAGCGAGAACCCTATGCTACGCATTCGGGAAAATCGGGTACCCTTATTCTAAGTCCTCCCTACTGGAGGACCTAGTTGTAGTTCATGCAGGCGTTCTCTCAGCGATTCTTCTCGGCTCAAGCCGCGCTTTCACCTTGCAAACTTCTACCGCTTGCCATGATGGCATGGCCCTTCGGCCGACTTGTGGGGCTCGGTGGATTCGACCTCCTACTTGTTGGGGTTGACTTCTTTTCAGAAACCTGCCTTTTCCCTTTATTTCTGATGGTTTTCTGGAAAGAAGGATCCCCGGACAGAATGGGGAAGGCACCCTTAGAATACTGATGGACCAAATCCAGAAATCGCACCATGAATTGAAACCGTGATGTGCATCTGGGGAATCTTCAGAAACCAGGGTTTCTGAACGATGCGAAATGGATCTCGTCCATCCACAGAACTGCCGGTTCGATTCTCCAGTTGATTGGCTTTCTTTTGGTTGTCCGCTCAAACGATCCCAATGGATCCGCAAGGGGACAATCTCCGTTTGAAAGTTAAACCTGTACAGTACTGGGCTTTTGTGGACTGATTTGACGCCCAATAAACCAGTTGCATGTGGCTGTCATGGGAACCAGTTGCTCAGCTTCCCCCCTTTCTCGCGTGTTGTTTGGTAGGATAGTCCGGATCAGCAAGCCACGCCGCTCTGGGCATTGGCTTTCCAACAGCGGCAAGCATGGTCCGCGGCGTTGCCTCCGCGCAGGGTACAACCACACCACCCAAATACCTTGCACATACATCAACTTCACAAAAAACAACTGAGATAAATTCCGAAGCCGGAACGGAAAAGACCAAAAGATCCAACACCACCAGGCCTGGCCAAGCAAAAATCCCCAGGTTTCTTCCGATTCTGCTGGCCCTGGCGGCCGCAGATGAGCACTGCCAGGCCTGCGAAGAGTCTCAGGCGAGATATTCATCCGGCGGGATGTGGCCTTGGGATCCTCGAATGCCTCTCACCATGATATAGATCCTTTGCTTGGGGGTCCCTTTATTCACTTGGTGGCTCCCAGCCATCCGGTTCCTTAGCTTTTTAGCGTTTTAGTGTTTAGTGGGGTTTTCCATTTAACCCACTAAAAGTTAAACTTTTAGAAGGGGATCTGAGGGCAGCCCAGATCAGGTGTTGGAATTCGAGTGACATTTGCAGAATGCTACTTGGATCTACTCGTGACTTTGCGTTATACCCCAAGGGTGCTGTCATTGGGATGCTACTGGCTAGATTGTGGTGGGAAGGGAGTCGGACTCGGAGCGGAGCCGGGCATAGTCATTTGGTGTCTTGAAGCAGCTGTTGGTTCTTGAGCCATTGACTTTTGAGAAGATGGTTAAAAGTCCCCAAGCTGCAAACGGTCAAAGTTTTTGGCAAGGGGGTAGTAGCCATCAAGATTCTGTTGGGCATTTCTGCTACCATTCGCAGGTTTTTATGCAGCCCTGGCGCATGTGTGGCGCTATTTGCCAGCTTTCGGGGAGCCGTCAGTTCTTTTTGGGGTTCTCAGTGGCAGCACGCCATGACTCTTCTTTCTATCAGCGTTTACCGGCTTCGGGGATTCCTACATTTCCCTTGGGCAATTTGAGCATCACCTTCTCCAATTCAAGGTGGCTTGAACGTAAGGTGGGATGTTCAAGGGCGTCTTTTTTCGGGAAGCTTGTCCCAAGCTCCAAATGTAGAGATTGATGGACGTTATTGTAATACTGCGGATGGACGAAATCCTGCACCACTTTGAAGCCTTTGGAAACCATTGTTCGTTGGTCATGGCAGAGGAATCATCATGCCAGGGTTTCTTGGGTGGTGCAGGGTTTCGCCCATCCACAGTATGTTCAAACATTGTCTAGGTACCCGCTCAGGATCACACAGACACAGACACTTGACCTTTCAGCTAGCGAGAGGCCTGTTGGATGACAACCCTTTCTACAGTCAGGTGGCCCCCAATTGATGGCTTCTTGCAGGGGGCAAATGGCCATGGGGCACAACCAATGGCTCCATTTTGGGGTGGATGAAGATCCATTTGCCACCTATTTTGATGTTCACCAGGGGTGCAGGGTTTTGACCCACAGCCAAATGGGAAACCACACCCCAAACCACCAAAAGTTCAAACCAGCCAGAGTGAAGCTGAGAGAAGCTGTTACGAACCTTTCCTGCGACCATTTGACTGCCGCCTGGCCATGCTTGATGCCGCCCAGCTTTTGCTTTTTCACACCTCTTGGCGGTGCCCCAGCTTCTTGTGTTTCCTGAAATTCGTTGGTGGACTAATAGCACAGGATTGTTTTTTATTTCTCGTTTTTTGTCTTCTTTTTTTTTGCTGGAGCGGGCCCTTTTGAATATCACCCCTCTCCCTGGAGGCGCACGCCCATGCTTTTGTGCAGAACGAAGCTGGCCACGAAGTGAATCGGTTTTATTTTTTTTCCTGGCCTGGTTCGTGTTCTCGACGATGAGTTCCACCTCGAAACCTGCCGCCCCGAGTGGCTCTCATTGGGTCAGCCAACTACTTACTACTTGCTCCTTTGGAAAAGCACGTGTTGTTTTGCTTTTCGGTTGGGTGATTATTTTCAGTGGGTCGCTGAAAGAAGCGCGTGCATCTTGCCAGCATAGAGTCGGGAAGGGCAGGGGACAGTCGAAAGAACACAGAGGTCAAGTTAACGTGGAAAACAGTTGGTTTTAAAATAGATGGCAGAGGTTCCCCTATGTTTGCTCCGTCATTCTCCTGGCCAAAGGAATTATAATGTCTTTCAGCCTGGAGGTCATTTTCAACTTTCGCCTTTGTTTGTTTGACCAGATGGCCTTCCCCTACTGTGGATGGACGAAATCCTGCCACACCTAACAATCCCTGGAATGATGATTCCCCTGTAAATACCGATGACCGTTATGGTTTCAACTGTGTGGTAGCTGATTTTGTGGTGCGAAATCCCGTCAGCAGTATGGACCCCTGGCGGTTGTGCCCTAGAGAGAGTCCTTGAGTGACGTGGCAGGCTCCCAGCATCCTCCAGAGCCTTGGATCGGGAATGGGGGGAAAACGGATAAAGGGGGTCACTGGAATCTTCCATGTGCTCATGTTTTTGTTTTCCCCTGTTGGTTCTTTATGTTTTCATGTTTCCAGTTGGTTCTGTATGTGTTCATGTTCCCCGGTTCTTTATGTTTTTATTTTTTGCAGTTGGTTCTTTATGTTTCTATTTTCCCAGCTGGCTCTACAGGAAATCCATCACTGCCGGAAACCTGGTTATTTTTCCAGGAGGCGTATATGGATTTTCCTAATAGTTGCAGTTTACTGGCGTTCACTTTTGGAGCTGGAGTCGACGTTACGCGCCCCTCAATCCCGGGGTTTATGTATGCGGGGTCAACATGACACCTCACCGCCCCAAACTGACAAGTCAAACCCGGCGGGAAGCCAAGGCCAAATAGACAGGTACCATAACTCATAGCCGTAACCACGCTTGAGCAACTCTCTAATCAAAGGGTTGGGTTGCAGGAAGTTCTACAGGAAAACAGCTGATTGTTTTGGGGCCATTTCCTGTAGATTTTCCTGTTACCCAACCCTTAAAGGCAAACCCTGGCAACCAAAACGACCTCCCCTCCGCTCAGTGACTACATGGTTCCTGGACTGTGTTTGATCTTGCCGTCCGCTGGGCACCTGCTTTGGGAATTCAACGAGGGCGTGTTGTTGCTTTTAGCGGACCCCCAAAATGGTTGGTTTCCTTTGGTTTCCCTTTAAAAGCATCCAAAAAGCGTTCCCTCAAAAAAGACACCCACAACTGCTTGACGCGTTGGGGCATTGCCATGTTTTCCTGACGAGCTGTTTCTGAGTGGCTATTGCCTTTGGCTGACGGCTGGGGCATGCTGCGCTTGTGGTCGGTGTGCGGCCTGTTGAATCGGTCTCGTGGTGGAAGATCTGGTTTTCGGTTTCCCGTTCTCACATTCCCAATCGCTGCTGCTCCACAGGAGCCCACCTCGCAAAAGTCAAGGGGGACCAACCTTCGAAGCATTCCCGAGTTTGCGAGATTGAAAAAACTAGCAAACAACACAGCACGTAAAGCCATTGTAACTTGAGTGTCTTGACCCCTTGTTCCTTGCCTGTCCTTGGCTTCACCCCTTAAGGGATGCCGAATTCGTTAGCGTGCGTGCTCTCTTCCTCTTTTGTCCCAGTTTCAGTGGCTGCAACTGGAAATAGGTTGCATATAGTTACCAAAAGGGCCCGCAAGTTGATATCACTTTGACAATTAGGTATCTGACATCTTGTTTCTTCACTTGCAGAGTTGGTTCTCCCATCCAGCTAGATGCGTTTCCTCGGCAAAAATCGAGTCGGAGTTGTGACCCCTGTCTAAGTCCCTTGCAACACAGGGTCCCTAGGATACACCTAAGAGTCACCAAGATGCAGGGAAGCTTTGCAGCTGGTATTTAGGTGGTTCTCGATATGGGTCAGTCTTCTTAGAGGGTACCTTTTTGGTTGGTTTTGACAAGAAACCAATAGGACAACCACCATGTTGGGAGGTTTTGCTTTCAACAAGTCACGCCATGAACAAAACATGAGCAACCTTTTAGGAGCACTAAAACTAGGACTTGAGTTCGAGGCTTGGTCCCTCTCGCCAAAAAAGCACTCGACAGGAAGGACAGCCGGCTGAACCGGCTGGAGACCCTCGAGTCACAGGCGAGGCTGTGGGTGTGACCTCTTTGGACTAGTTGATGTCCTGGACTTAATTCAAAACTTGGCTCCTTAGCCGCTTAGGTTTTTCGTGGTTAGTGGTAAGTTTCATTTAACCCACTAAAAGTTAAACTTTTAGCGGGGGATCTGAGTGCAGCCGAGAAATCCAAAAGAAACAAACCACCACGACAAATATATTGTGGCCCCCTTATGCTTGCAAAGCTTCTTGGGGGAGTTCTTAAAAGCACGGCTTCCCCTTGAATGACGCAAATGGGGCACCTAAGCTCGATTGCTACTGCGACTGCCCCTACTGCTGCTGCTGCTGCTGCCACTGCTGCTTTTGCTGCTGCTCCTACTCCCAAGTTGTGAAGTTGTGAGCTGGGAGCTGGAAATAGGCCTGGGTTGATCCCTTTTCCATTCTGTTCAAAAAATCCTTCTTTTCAACAAGCCGATCGGCGTCCTCCCTGGGATTGCGGAGGAGGTTTTCTAGAAAGAAGGAATGGGCATGGAAAAAACATCCTAGAGATGTTGGTTGGATTTGGATCCATGTTGCGTGTTGGATTTGGTGTTCTCACGTCCGGTGTTTGTTTGCATGGACATGCTGCGCTTGGGAAGCTGGGGGGGTGTTCTCCGACCTGTCCACCCAAGTGAGCGTGTTATCGGCGCAGCACGAACCGCAAGCCTCGGATTTCCTGCCCGTGGCTTTGTTTTCTGGCTTTCCGTTTTTGCACCATTCAACAAGGGGCTCTCGCAAAGCCATGGGTGCAAGCGAAACATGCACAGTTGTTTGATGATCACATTCGAGGGAAACCACAAAGCGGATCTTTTTGCTTCGGTTTTCAGACCCCTGCTTGTTGTACCCTGCAGGCATGCAAGCGGATCCTTGGAGTGCTTATCCCGGGTAACCTGAAGGACCATGCAAACCCAGAGGTCAACAACCTGGTTGCCTTACTGTAGTACAGTAGGGCTTGCCTGAACGGCAGCCAAATGGCCTTTCTCGTTGCCCAGGCGCCGCTGGAAACTGAAGCTCTGCCGGACCCCCCGGCACCGATGCCCGGCCTCTCGTCAAGCGAGCCGCAAGCGGTGTCGGCTCTTGGGGGCCAGCCAATGCCGCAGCCAGCGCAGCCACAGCCAGCGCAGCCAGCGCAGCCAGCGCAGGCGCCAGCGCAGCCTGCGCAGGCGCCGCCGCAGGCACATCCAGCACCAATGCAGCCAGGGCAGGCTGCACCCGTGCAGCCCCAACAGGCCCAAGTGCCGCAAACGCAGCAGCGGCCTATGCAATTCCAGCGCCCCATGCCAGCGAATCACATGCAACCGCTGGGTGAGCATCCGGTGAGCATGGGCGCCAAGGCAACTCCGCAACCAGTGCGTTGGTGCCTTGGCGTTGGTCAACGGTGTTTTATCCTCTTTGCCTGTGTTTCCTTGGCCTGGTCGCAAAGAACTGGGGTCTCCGAATTGTATCAGGTGACTTTGGACTTTTGGGTGTCCTTCGGGTGATTGTGCTGTTGCTTTTCCGGCCAAGTTTCTACTTTGGTGACAGGGAGTTACCAGCGAGGCTTTCCTTGTGAGCGCTGGGGCTCGACACCCAAGTAAAGCCAGTAAGCCAACACCAGAGCTTTACATCATCCCTTGAACTCCTGCGCTGGTACCAACCCTTCAATCAAAACAGCTTTCTAAGCCTTAATAAGAAGCTGAGGTCTCCGAACCGTTGTCAGTTTTTGGCCAGTCTAAATATGACGCCTATGTTCTGTGACAGACTTGGGCGGAAGGTCTCCTTGCCGTGAGGGTTTCAACGTTTTTGGGCGGGAGGTATGTTTTTTTGTTTTTTTCCGGCGAAAAGTGCCCTTTCTGGAGGTTGGTTCGAAGCGAAGCCCAGCCTTTTTAGGGGTGGGTCAAAAATTGGCGGAAGCCACGGGGAAGCCAAACATTTTGAGTCCCGGTCATCCCTATTTTGACACATGGGGGGAGATCAAAAGGTCCTTTTTTCATGGGATGACCATTGGGGAAAATCACTAAAACAATTATATTTCCTACTAAATGGGAAAAGTTGGTCGCACTTCAATCCTTTTGGGAAGACAATTTTAGTGGTACACAAGTTCGGACTGTGGAAAAGTTGCCCGCACTTACAACCTTTTGGGAAGACAATGTTTGTGGTAAACAAGTTCGGACTGCTTTTGGTCAATCCACTCGGGAAGCGAGCTGTTGGTTTTAAAGGGAATCTACTGGAAATACGCCGAATCCGCAAGAGGATCAACTGGCGGATTTCTGGGATGGATCCGCATGAAGCAACAAATGTCAGATCAACATACGGCACCGAACTTGCCCATCAATCAGCTTTTTAGCGGCCCCTAGGGGCCGAAAAAGGGCAGGGTGTTCTTTGCCACAAAACTTGAGAAGAACCATCTGTTTTAAGGGATTGCCCAAACGGTTCAATTCCCAAACCCGGTCTCGGGTCATTCTCTACCTATCGCACCAGCAAGAACAGCAAACAGTTGGTCTCGGGTTGTCACGGTTCACCTAAAAGCAAAGCCGTGCGCTTGGGGCCCCATCACCTTTTTCTCATGATGCCTGCGGGGCAGGGGAGGGAATAGAGGGAGCCAAGGCCCAACCAAGGTCCCACAATCCGAGCACCCGCCCCCACACCCCATGGGTACTGAATTCTCCTTAGGCACTGGTTGGCCTTTATCGCCGTGGTCACCCTTGGCTCGGCTGTGAACATGCTGTCGCAGACGAGGCGCTGCTCACACAGTTCTTGGGACTTGTTTTTGGTTCTTTGTTTCGTTCTTTGCTTCTATGGCTTGATATGGACTGGTTCAGCTTCGAAGCCTGGCGTAGAAGAGGCCCTGAATTGAAGCTTGCGACCGGACCTTTTGCAAAGTTGGACCTTGGATTCAGTCTTTGAAGTGACACTACATGAGCCAAACCAAGTTTCCAAGTCTCACATTTTTGGGTTGCAAGCAACCTTGCGCCGCGGCGCAATCAAGGAACGGTCTTTGGGTTGCAAGTGATCCTATGGTCTGACAGATCACATCCCAAGATCCCAGTGGCCACGGCGCTTGTGGCTTGGGGATTCCAGCGATTCTTCGTTCCGCTCGAGGACCAGACCTCGGGATTTGTCGCCTAGTGGTTCCCAATGCTGACGTTGGACCCATAGGGGTCAGGATCTAGCTCCGTCTCCCGCTGCTACGGGTTAAGGCCTGAAAGGCCTAAGGGCTGTAGGCCACGGAGCCCCACTATGTCGCTTGGCACCATGTCAAGCTCGTTTTTAGGGGACTCGGATCTGGAGGGTATCCAAATTCTATCTTGAAGAGAGAGAGGGAGAGAGAGGGAGAGAGAGATAGAGAGAGAGAAAGACAGAAAGAGAAAAAGAGAAAAGAGAGAGAGAGAGAGAGACACAGAGCTATGCGAGCTATGGAGCTACCAGGAGTGCTTTGTAAGATTCTGTAAGTACACTTACTTCCTCAGTTCTGGGACTTCAGTCACTTTTTGGGTCTAGACCATGTTGGTGGCAAATCAACAGTTTGGGTATATACTTTGTTTGGCCCATCCACTCAGGCAGTAAGTACATGACATGGCAGCCTATGCCAAACACCATCCGGAACAAACAATACAGTTGGGGTTGGCTTGAAACCCTCTACGGGTTGCAGCCCCTTTTGCCGCCCCCTGTGTGCATGATTTGTGCGTGTGAATGTTATTTTCCATGTTGGGGCGGGCTGCTCAGTTGACCTTGCATGAGCCCCCATGCCATTTGTACACCCCTCAGACTGAACCAAAAGCTGGGCATCTTTGGTGTCTGAAGGGTTGGGGAGTCCCAACCCAAGCCTGATGTTTATTTTCCTTCACGGAGTGCCTCCCTTGAGAACCCGCCATTTCGCGGACGAAATGCCTTGCGTGGAACCTGCCGGTCCCAGAGGAGACTGGAGAGGCCCAGCTTGGCAGGATGCCCGACTTGCTTGGTGTGTGTGTGTGTTTCTTTCTTTGGGGGGTCTGAACCTTGTTCAGCTCCAGGGTTAGTCATACAAAGCCATTGGATTTGGAACACATCCACGGTGTGGGCTCCTAGCTGGTGGTTATACTCCCCCATTGTTTTCCTTAGTTTCAGAGAACCAACCAAAGCCAACCGCCCTTTTTTTTTCTTCTTCTTTTTCGATTGGACGATGGCTGAAAAGAAGAGAGCATGAATCAACCAGTAGAATCATGGAAAACCTATGAGGTGTAAGTTTCAACATAGGGGGACATGTTGGGAATCAACAGAATAAACAACCCCCCAAAAGTAAGTTCCCACTCCTCCGGTGGTTTCCTTGATTCAAAAAACACGCCACTGCCTAGAGTCTCCATGACTTAAAAACAAATGGGCCCATTTTACCCCTTTCTTTCGGGTAATGACCAACCATTTTTAAAGGGCCATGGAGAGTCTAGGGTAGGCCAAGCCACTGGGTCCGTGCGGCCTACACTTTCTCCCCGCGTGGAAAGTGCCCTCGCAGGTATTTTCCCAAATGGGTGGCCGGCGGGGGGGCCCAGAAAGCCGATCCGATTCGGAGGAGCAGGTCTCGGGCAGATGTTTGTTGCCTAGGTCCCCAAGTAGTGCCCTTTTTTACCGTTTCTTTTTGGGGGAGGGTTCCCCTACTAAAATAGACTACAGAAAAAAGGGCGCCCTTATTCTCACCTCTCCTACTGGAGGACCTAGTTTCTTCCATTTGCTGAAAAATAATCAGAGGTGCATGTTGCCAAGGGACGTTAGGACTGGAGAACTTTTTGCCAACGAAGAGGGGTTTTCCATGAAAAACCACTAAAAGTTCAACTTTTAGCAGGGGAGCAGAAAGCAACCGAGCTATGTTTCTATTTCCCCTGTCGGTTTTACAGGGAATCGATTTCACTACTGGACAGTTTTGTTTTGTTCAGGTGTGCTTGATCGCCACTTTTTGGAGATCGGATAAAAAGTCCCCACTTCGGTGAGTCTCAACTTCGCGACTTCACATGGGGGTGTCCTTTTTGAGGGTACCCCTTTTTGGTTGGTTTTGAAAGGAACCAAAAGGAACACCGAAATCCATTTTGGGGGGTGCAACCTTTCAAAGTTGACAGACCAAAATATCAACTTGGGAAGACCTCCTCACTCCCCAAGCCTAGCCACTTGGCCAGCCGAACTCCGAGGAACCTGTTGGATGGTAGGGACTTGTTGGCTCTATGGGTGAGTCTTTTCGGGGACTCCCCCTCCCAAAAAAACAACAACGAGGATGGTTTTGTTTTTGGTCCCCCCCCCCCATTTTTTTTTGGGGACGGGGGGTTCCTGGAAAAACAGACGCATCCACATTTGTGGTTGTGACTTCCCTGATCTCGGGAAGCGTCGGCTTGGCCAAGGCCATCCCACGGGGTTTCCTCTAGCGGTGAGTCGGTGGGGAACGCCTTGGCCTACTTGCTTCGTTGGAACCTCTTCGGATTTGCGCCTTTTGGCGGATTTCACCTGTTCTTCCCCTTGGCCCATGGTTGTTGTATTATTTTAGGTACTCTTTTTCATATCCAGGGGATCCATTCGCCACATCCACTCCGGGTTTTCTAGACGTCTTGTGTTGCTTTGGTGCTCTCGGCCGACAAGGCTTCACCTTTCAATCCTTTTGCCATACCCCATATGGGTATGGGTCAAAATGAAACCACCAGCAAACTGCAGAGTTTAGTCCTTGGTTCCATTTACCAGGGTTTCATTTTGGGTACCCATTTTTTGACCCACAGCCATATGAATCAACCAGGGGCCCGAAAAGCGGTCTGACTCCAACCACTAGACCCCTACAGTTCTTGCTCAATGAAGCGGGGTTGATTACTATGGGGGCAACATTAAATGCAGAGCATGCCCTTCAAGATAGCATCCCCTGTGGAAAAAAATGCCATGCCGCGCATCTGTGACTATTAATCATGGAGGCCAGATCACAGATCGGTTGATTTCTAGAGCTCAGGCAGCCTTGTCGTCTGAGTTGCAGAAACCTGCTCGGTGTGTGTGTGTGTGTGTTTCTGTGTGTTGTGTCTGTTGTCTGTTTTGTGGAATTCCTGGTAGTTCGACGAGTCAGAGAAGTCCCCACGCTGTCCGTGAAACGGAATCCAAAAGGCTGCCCATTCGGCGTCCTTCGGCGATGAGACTTGTTGCGCCCGATGCGGGGGGTACAAGGAGCTCATTACGTAGGTCCTGGACTCGGGGATCCCTGAAGCTTCAGCTTTTGACGGCATGTAACCATTGCAGGAAAAAGTCAATCCTGAAATTGACCTCCACCCGCGCCTAATTTCAGGCAGGCGATGGGCCCTGCTGAAATATTGCGAAGTGGTAGCCGCTCAGTCCTGTCCAAGCAACCTGCCTGTTATGTGGAAGTCATTCTGAACTGGTCCATTGCCTGTGAGGAAGTCAAATTTGGTAACAATTCAGGAAGTCAAATTTGTTTCTTCGCCAAGTATGCGAAATACCGCGGGAGGGCACAATTGCGAGTAGAAGTGGTGACAAGTGATAAGCACGCTATAACATCCTCCCCTCTAAGGGTGGCAGTACATACCCCTTGTTCATACCCCTTGGCTTCCATAGTTTCCAACCCACTTTATCAGGGGTATATACCCCTTTTGCGGACAGGGGTATGAACATCAGCAGGCCTTTTGGGTTCATTTGTCCAAGGGGTATGTAAAAGGGGTATGTATAAGCACCCCATCCCTCCATCCCATCTGCCCAACCGAGGCGGCAAAGCCGGGGCGGGTCAGGACGTCATCGCAGGCACTGAGCAAGCTGCCGCGCAGCCTGGCGCGCAAGATTGTCAGCCAGCCCAAGCGGGGAATCCACAAATGGATTTGGTCAACCCCACATGTTTTTTCTTTTCGGGGGGGCATGGATTTATTCTGAGGTCCACATTCATACAGGGGCTCCTTTGCATAGTTCAAGCATGATTTCCCGTGGAAAATCGGTGCGCCAGAAAGTCGGTGTGCTTGATGGTTGTTCGTCTCATTTTTGGACTTCCCAAAATTTCCCGAAATTCCCGTGGGTCGATACATGTGATCCCTCCCCCGGGTTGGCCTCCCGTCTCCCGGAAAGGGCACCGCGCCTGTCACGGGTTTCGAATAATCTTTGGCTGGATGTGGCGGGCACTGCCTGATCTAGCGGATGCTTGGAAGGGGGTCCTTAGGGAGCTAAGGAGCCGGTTATCCAAATTTGTGTGTTTACGGGGCCTTTTGGAGCTACCAGGACTTCTGCAACCCCAAGGTGGTTTCGAACTTCTGCAAGGACATGGTAGTAGCTTTTAGGGAAGCCCCCTTTTGGATGTTTATTTTTTGGATCGGGGAAGCCAAATGGTCATGTTTGAGTTTGCCTATTGGAAATGGCAAGCCCAAACAGATTTGGAAGATGTCCAACTGCATTCTCAACATGGTAGTCCAAACTTCTTTTTTTGTGCACAAGGCTGTTTGTTTCAGGAACATGGTCCAGCACTTTTCTTGTGAGGTTCCAAGTGAATACATATATATATATAGCTAGATAAATAGATAAAACTATGTATATATATATATATATATACATGTATATATATATATATTGGGCAGGGGGTTCGTCCAGCCTCAAGGAAGAACCTGATTACCGACAACTCGCACCTGGTGAATGGCATCAAAGCCCCAGAGCAAGCCGCCAACTTCTTGGACCTGATCCCCGACGGCCGCTTGGCACAGGTCCAGCTGGGAATGTCAAACCATGGGTGGCCCGTTTTGGGCCATGGGTTTATGTGGGGCCCGCCTCTAAAAGGGGTACAGCTTAAGGGGTTTAGATTTTGGACAACCCACCGTTTGGTAACGAATCTGGGGACTTTAACTTCTTGGAACATATTTGGAGAGGGATGGTCATGGATCCTCTCCAAGCGACTAGGGGGATTGTCACCACGACATCACAAAATCACACATTGCAGTACCCTCCCACAGATAAGCGTTTCATCAGCATTTATTGGCTCATGTTTAGGTATGGTTATTAAGGACAACCAAGAGGCAACAGCATGTTTTTGGGGTCCCCTTAAAAAAGAAACCTGTTTTAGTCTACATAATTATCTCGATTTAGTTCCCTCACATGCAGAACATATATTCTACCTTTTGGTTGGCCTTCTTAGTGCCAGGCACAAAATGATGTATTATATACTATATGTACGGTCCCATATCTTCCCAAGAATTAGTTCCCCTTTTTATTTGGCTGCTTTTTTGGGGTTCCCTTCGTTTTCCATTACCGGGCAAAAAAGATCTCATTTTTTGCTGGGGTCCCCTTTTTCCAGCCAAGATATATAGCTAGGGATCCCAAATTTCACTCCATTTGGCAGGCGAGGGTGTGGCCATGTGCCGTGACGGCGCGTCTCCTGAGCCGGTGACCTACCGCCAGCTCCGCGCCCAACTCCAGGCGGATGCGGAGCTCCGATGTTCGGAGTCGCCCGTCGTCTCACTCCCTCAGACTGGTTTTCAATACGGGGGACTAGTTGGTTAACCGGGGATTGATTCTGGGGTGAGTTGGCAGAGTTGGTTAATCGGAGGTGAATGTCAGCTTTCTCTCAACAGCCTGCAACAGTTCCCCCGAACAATTTCAGTCAATACGCAAGATAAAATCAATACCCGGGTAGATGAAGGGTGGTAAGGAACAATCCCCGGCCAAAAATGGCTGCGGAATTGCGCCTTGGCAATTCTTGAAGCATGGTTATGGGACCATTTTTAATACCGAGGATTGATTTTGACTCCCCTGAGTCATGGTTGTTGTTGGGAAACATTTTACATTCTTGCTTATTGTGGTTTAGTGCGAAATCCCCACTTAACTGCTAAAACATATTTTGTTGCTCCCCCTCCAACGTCAACCAAGTTCCGTTGCGGACTTTCATCCCTTTTTTGGCTTGGACTTTGGACCATTTTAGTCTGCGTCTCCCTTTTTGAAACGGCGACGAGGGTTCAGACGAGCCAAGGTGGGAGGAAGCTGAGGAGATCATCCTTCAGCATGCCTGCCAAGTGCCGATTGTGGCCTTCCCAAAAAGTGCAAGTGTGGGTACTTTTTGGCCAATCCACTCGATCGGTCGTGAGTCATAGGTGTCCTTTTGATCGGTGAGTTTGGGTAAAAATAGATGGGGTTCCACTGGTTTAGATTGGGTTCATAATCCATTTGCCAGGGAAACCCACCTACTTTTCCAAAAGGTCACCTATGTTAGGAACCTGGAACCAAAGGAACCACTAGTTGCTGGATACAGCTGGAGCGTATATAGATGACACCATCCATGGTCTAGACGTCATGTGTTTCAATTGACCCAGGTGTCCTAGATTACTTGCTGGTTTTCCCCCTTTTTGAGAGGTAGTTTCCCTTTTAAGGTCAGCCTAACCACCCAGGGTCCAGGTTTGCTACCATGCCTTTGTCCTTTGCAATGAAGAACGAACATCTGTCAATCCTAGGTTCAGAGCGTTGACCAAGAAAACAAGGGTGCCCTTTCTCGGACACCCACCGTTCGCGCCCAGCTAGCGCCTTCGGTTCACGCGGCAGGACCCGGACTTCGGGTCCTTCTTCGGAGCGGAGGACCGGGTGGCGCTGGTCCTGGAGAACGGCAAGCAGATGGCGGTCACTCTGCTGGCGGCGCCTTCGACCGCTTAAAAAACGCTCCAAGGAAGAAGCACCGAACAAGAATCGAGGCGGAAGTTCGGGAGCCTGAAACGGGTTGCGGCTCCTGAAGGGTTTCTCAAGCAGGAGTCCATGTCTCCGAAAGTCGGTAACCCTTTTCTTCCAGGTAGTTTGGGTGCGAGAACGCCGTTCCCAAGAAAGCGGCTTTTTGCCAAACAATCAATAGGAAGTTATACCCATGAGAGGGCGTTCACAAATCCATGAACAATCAGTTTGGCGTTTCTCCAAATTCGGATGCGGACTTGGCATTTTCAAGGGACGCCAAAACTCGCTGGTGCTCAGCACGGGACTGAGGGAGTGACCCCTTGAAACCTTTTCTTTTGGTTCCTTTAAGGGGAGCCCTGGGTTCATTCCCAACATCCTGGGGCATTCCCTACCTATCGAGACAGCAAGAAGAACCAAAGGAATTCACCGAACCATGGCCTTTTTCTCTGCAAGACTGAGTCAAAGCCTGGTATCAAAATGGTGTACCCACAGCACTGTTACTCCAAAAATCTGAAAACTGTTTGCTTCCGTGGACCGATTCCAATGTTGAGACGCCCTTCGACACGTCGAGGTGATGCACCGCGCTTGTGCGGTGCCTTTGAACCCCACCTTTACGGAGGTGGGATCGATCAGGGAATCGCCATGGGTGTGTCTCTTTCTGTTTCTTTTCTTTTTTTGGGGGGGGCGGACCTCCTTTTTGGTTGGTTTTAAAGGGAAACCGAAAGGAAGATCACCCAACCAGTGGGGATCCCCTCATTTTGAGACACCCCCAAAGCTGATCGTATTTGTTTGCACCTGGATTTGTGGCAAGACTCAACACTGGGAGGGGGCAGGAGGTCATCCCAAATGACAAATTAACATCAACCAGCCTTGGCTGCCATTTGGGCGGACATGTGCGCGCATTGCCAAACCACGAAAAGCAAGACTTGTAGTGCAGGGGGTGGTAAGCAGAAAGACCCCTGGGCTGAAAGCGTGGAAATCCATTTGAGGTCATGTTCCAATGGGACTTCTTCAATTTCACGGCACGATTTAACTACGAAAAGAAAACAAACGCAACGACAATAACTACTTTCCTTGGTGTGTGTAACCAGAAATGGAATTCCAGGGGTTGCCCCCTTCCCCAATTCTATTTTTAAGGGGGGCGATTATGATTTTTTTTTGGGGCACACTCCCTCAGACTACATTGAAGCTCCCCAATTGGCCTCTGTCAACGGAACCATGCCCTCCATTTCGGGGTGGGAGCTTCCATGGAAAAACCGTCTTGGGGAGGGTATGAAGCTTTGGTGCGTCTTGCCGAGGGATTCTCGGACTTTAACAAGTTGCCAACGAAGAGGGGCTTTCCGAATTGGACCACTAAAAGTTCGTCAAACTTTTCGCCGGGCTTCGCAGATTTCGCCACCGAGTGTTGGGACCCGGACCCGGAAGGAATTGGAGCCCGATGAACACGGGAACTTTCACCTAAAACTTCCGGGGGTCATGGGCTTGATCCTCACTTGGGGAGCTTGGCAAGTTGCCATTTGAGTGGGAAACCCCAAAATGTTTGGTACTCTTTTTTTGGCCATCCACTCACTTAGACTAAGGGGAAACATGGGTACTAACCCTTTTCGCTCAAAATCTGGGCCTTTTTTTGTGTTTTCCCTTTTCCACCCAAAATCTGGGCTCTTTGTTTTTTTTGTGTTTTCCCTTTTCCCCCAAAATCCGGGCTCTCTTTTTTTTGTGTTTCGCAGGCGGAGATCTGCGCGAGCCTCGAGCAGCTCCAGTGCTCCGTGGTGATCACCGCGGCCAACAGCCCCGCCACCAGCGCGGCCACCGCGGCCGCGGCCAAGCTGAAGCTCCGGCTGCTGCTGCTCCATGAGGAGCGTTTTTCCGGCCGCCGGCGTCCACTGGCCCCAGAAACAAACACGTGTTTGTTTGTTCGTTTCTTTGGTTTGAAGGGAGTCTAGCAGATTTTCCCAGTTGCCCGAAAAACATATGAGCCGCGTGCTCAAAACCGATTCGGGTAGCTGAAGGTGAGGAAGAGACAATCCCCTTGCCATAAATGGCTGCGGGAATCCGCCTTCTGAATCCTGTATATTTTGTTTTTTGTTTAAAGGGAGTCTATCGGAGTTTTCCGGGTGAGTTTTTGAAGGGAGTCTAGCACTACCTGAAAAACTGGTTGGTTGTAACTTGGCGTTTTGTCGTTGTTGCTTTTAAGTTGTTTTTTGTCATGGTTGTGCCGTTGTTTGTTTGTTTGTTTGTTTGCTTGCTTGCTTGTTTGTTTGTTTGTCCGTTTAAATTGGTCGTCCCGCGTTGGCACCATTTGCATCGGTCAACTGGCCCCCCCAAAAAAACAAATCAGGGCTCCCCAATCGGGGCTCCGCAATCCGAAAAGTCGGCCTAGACCTGAGACATTTGGACGAGTGAGACGTCTTTTGGCATCTTGGCTAACAGGAGCGGCCGCGACTTATCCAGTTCACCGCGTTTGCTTTGTTGTTGTTTCGTTTTATGTTTACAAACTTTTGCTTTCCAGCTCACCGTGTTTTGCAATTGTTTAACAAAATGCCAGAGTCAATCATACAAACGTTCATAGGATCCGTGTTGCGTCCAGATTCTTTCAATCAATCACGACCAAGTGCAGAGGCTCCCATGTTTTACGGGTTTTTCGCCCCTGGCGCCAGGGCACCGACACCGTGTTGCGCCTCGAGGGCGCGGTGGCGCAGCCTTCCGCGGCTAAGGAGGCGGGGGCTTCGGCTTCGGAGCTGAGCCAAAAGCGCGGGGGAAATATGTCGGTGCCAGTACGCAGGACTAGGTCCCCTAGCTAGGTGCCCTTTTGCCAACTTTGTTGGGGGAGGGTTCCCCTACAATAGATTACAGAAAAAAGTTGGTACCCATATTTCTAGCCTCTCAAATCTGGAGGACCTAGCAGTATGTAGGAGAACATTGATGGTAATTCACGTTGATTGATGGTATTTCATGGTACTTGACGACAATTCATGGGAATTGATTCGGAGACTTGTAATTGACACGCCAATCGGCGTTATTGGCACGTCAATCGAAGTCTCAATCATTTTGCACATGAGTGCCAGGGGTTTCAACACGATGCACACACACACACATATATATATATATATATATGTATACACATTCCCCGTCAACGGCCATGTTCGACCCTCCCGGACGCCACAAAGACATGGTTGAAACACGGGTTTCTCTAAGACTTGGAGTACCTTACTGCCCAGTGCGAGCTGAAGTGTAGATGGCTCTTTACCTGGGTGTGTTCTTTTTCGGGGAGCCCCCCCTGCCCCAGCCCAACAAAAAAGAAGGGTTTATGTTTTCCCTTTTGGTGTTTCCTTTAAAGCAACCCCAAAAGGGAACCCTCACAAAAGACACTCACATGGTTTGGGGTAAGTCTGTGTAAAAGGCTTGTAAGTGACCGGCCCAGAAATCGGTGTGGGGTATCCGCCCTTTTGGCTTTGCGTGGTGGGAAGACAACATTGATACCAGGTTTTGATCATGACTGGATATGACTCGTCACAAAACCTCGACCTTTCATAATTCAACAGCCTCAAGCACCGGTAGCTTCAACAGCCTCATTCAGATTTCCCCTCGAGTTCATGACAGTTATGGCGTCCACTTGAAACATATCCCCCCCACCCCTCGCCACACCTGCTTAGTAGGTTTCACCCTTAAAGCCCTTTTGGTTTGGTGGCTGACCGGCCCCCCAGATCCCCGAAGACGCGTATTTTCCTTTTGGGGCCCCCAAGCAATCGTCTCCGTTCCTCGCCGTCAGTTGGGGCTCCAGCGCACCGTGCTGCTGCTGAAAACCTCGGGCACCACCTCCAAGGGCAAGGTCGTGCCATTCTCCCTGCGGCGCCTGCCCGGGTCCTCGGAAAAATCCTCGGGGTGCCTGGGGGCGACGTTTGGTTTGGTGGGACCCCCACATGGGGCAGGTTCTACTCATTCGAACCTTCTAGACTTGGAAGGATTGGCAGAATTGGGCAATTTTTTGCAGTGGCCGAAGGGTCGATGGATTGTTTTTGGGCCCTAACTGGTTGTTTTCCATTGGACCCCTGAGGAATTGGTCGGGGTTCTGCATTGGAGGGTCCCGGGGGGTGCATTGGAGGGGTCATGACCCCTTAGGGGGGAAGCCCACTGGGCAGGTGCTACCCCTCCAAGCTTCCAAACTTGGAAGGATTGGCGGAAGGAATGGAAGAATTTCAGAACTAGAAAGGAATAATAACGCAACTCAAGTGGGAATCTGACACCTGTATCTGGGGGTTAGGGCATATCCTATGTGCACAAGCCAACTGTTGCTTTTCCACAAATCCACCGAGTCCGAGCCATCGTTTGTTTGCCCTTGGGGAGCTAAAGAGCTTAATTACCCCCAAACTCATTGGTTGGCATTCAGTGGGTTCCACCCTCCCCAAAGGAATCATTTTTGTTTGACCGTGCAACAGGATTCAGGTAGGGCGAAGCTGCGATGCATGCCCGTATTGCAACATCCCTAGCCCCTGCAAGGCAGTAGTGATATTGCAACGAGGAAAGTTGGCTCTATATCCAATATCCACTCCTGGACTCTCATGGCAGCCCACAAGTCCGGGACTCCACCCTTTGGGGTGGGAGATCGTGGGCGGGTGTAATCGCCAAGAGCTTGATTTCCCCACAAAAAATATGAAAGTTCCCTTTTGGAAGTTGAAGTTGCGAGGGCAAAATGAAACCGTGCCCATGCCCCTTGCAATTTCCGTGCAAGAAAGCAACAACATATGCCCTCATTTGCAAACAAATACGACGTTTTCAGCTTGTTGTGCAATATTCTGGCATCACATATTTTTCTAAAACGAAGACGTGGACATTTGGTTGTCCCACTAAATGAGGAAACCTGGAGTCTTCATGACCCTTAAAAAATGGTCTTATTACCACAAATATTGGGGTCATGGACTCATTGTTAAACTGTTAAAGGGTCATGGAGAGTCTAGGAAGTTACCCATGGTCGTTTGGGGGCAAGGAATATTGATCAACCCCCCATGTCTCCCCCAAAGGACAATGGGGGTGGAAGTGGTTTGCCTGAAGGGGGCGAAGCTCTCGTTACCTCACCGAGCGGTTGCAAGCACGGTGCACACATGACAAGCATTCGGAAGGATCCACACAAAAACCCCTTCGGGGACTCTCTAAGTTTTCCATGTGGGGGTGTGATTCGGGGCAAAAGAATACAACAACATAGGGGTTCAGCTGTCGGGCAAAGCGCAAGTTCCCGGCGACAAGTCACGCGCGAGCTCTACCCGTGGGGCGGTCGCGACATGGTTGAGAAGAGACGTTGGCTCGGGCGTCAACACTTGGTGCAAAAAGCTGCACTTTTTGTGGGCCCACTGTTTCCCAAACAGTTAAAGTCCAAAGATCCAACCAAACAGCCATAAAGATAACAGTCTCACCCCATGCACACTTTGCGCATTGGCAAACAAGACAGGGTGTTCAATACAGGGCCCCTCCCGTCTCTTTTGGAGTGGGGATGGTGGCTTGGTCCGGCAACTAGTGGTTTCCTTTGCCTTTCCTGGGTGCCAGGCCCAAAATGCTGCTATTGCCCAGGAAACCAAACCGAATCGTTATCCGCAAACGCGAGTCATTGGCCATTCAAAACCATCATTCCAACATCCAAGTGCACTTTGTAGGGAGACCCAAGCCAAAAAGTCCAAAAGGATGGTTTTTCCGTTTGGTTTCCAATTTGGTTTCAATTGAAATGACACAAATGACAAAACCCTCTGAGACCTCTAGGTGTCTGGCGGCCCGGTACAACGCCCGCTGCGTCGAGCTGGCCCCGGGCAGCGTTTGCTTGAGCCCCTTGTACTGGAGAGATTAGGGCCAAATGCACGCCTGGGACGATAGACTGACGCGCAGTGTTCTGGTGAACCTGGCGGTGTCCTGTTGAGGATGCCCTTTTTGTTGGAACCATGCTCATTTTTTTGCGTTTCCCAATCTTGAAGACAAACAAAAAATGGCTCGGGGTTCCCTACGGTTCCCCTTGTGGCGGCTTTGACATATTTGCGCTTTTGGGCGGGGACCACTTAGATGGTGCAGGAGGATCGCAAAGTGCTTAGCTTTGCCCTCGTTAGAACTCAGCCAAGCCATGTTTGTGAGTCCCCTTAAAAACCATTTTGCTACTACGTCCCAGGCGTAGTTTTTAAATCTTTCCTTGGGCATACGTCGCCACCAGGGCCCCCAATAAGTGCAAACCATCCACCTTTCCTGGAAGTTTCAGGGGTCATTGGAAAGGAGCTTACTAAGGGCAGGTTTACAACCCATGACATGGGTTCAGGAGGCAGTGAAAGACTCACTTGCATTGACACACCGTTGATTTCTGGGCAGTCAACTAGGCCAGAAGTTCCAACCGTATCGATCCCATGGACGACGTCCATGAACCACACCAGCGAGTAGGTGAAAATTATCCCATTCACTTGGGTTTCATCTGAGTTTTTGTTTTCTCGAGAGGTTGCAAGGGGAAACAATATGCCACGGCTACTTGTAGCTACGCGGATCCCAAGGTTTTGAAGGATGGCAATCCCATTTCTGTGCGCGCTCGCATATTGGATCACATAAAAATGTTCCTCCAACCGCCCGGGTCCCGGCAACTCGGACCTAGACCACGTGAGTCTTTCGGCTCTTTGTGCTTGCTCAGTCTTGGAGACCTGTGGTACCTGTACATACATGTATTGGCCAAGGCATGCAGGTATTGCCATCAATTTGAGCCAGAGATCTCCTTTGATTCACCAGATATGGGACAGAATCAACCATATACCGCATGCCGCCTACAGATGAACAAGGAACCCAACAAGCCATCACTGCTAAAGGAAGCTCCTTTGGCGCAGGGCCCCCCTTTTTGGGTTCCATGTAGGTGTTCAGCCGCTTCCGGCTTCCCGGCGGGGCGCTTCCAATTCGCCTTTTCGGTTCACTTGCTGGTGCGAGAGATGCAGGGAATGAGAAATGGAATGACCCCAAAGAAGCCATCCCCTCTGGCTTCCTTCAAGGGAATCCCTAGGTTCATTCCCACGTCAAAATCAAGCCCGAAAAGCTTAGCGCGTTTGGGAAGGAGAGGCGTTCGCAACTCCAAGTGACGCGTAGGCATGATGCCTTTGTACCACATCGCGGGCATCTCCGAACCTCGGATGGAAGAGAGTCCAGGGAAAGTGCTGCAAGGATCTTGGGTGTGAAATTTGATTGTCCCGGACCCGAAATGGTGGACATCAGGCTTTGCCATGTCCACTTAGGTGGTTTCCCGTTTAAGCAAAGGCATACCTAGTTGTTGTTTTGTTTCTCCGCTTGTAGGCATTGGGGCCGATAGCATATCGGCCCCTTGCGTGCCTGAAAGGTTCTGATCCTCGAGGCTTGAGAAGCTTCGCGGCCGGTTGAAATGAAAGAAACCGGAAGGTTCGAACAGATTTAAATATTTTGTGCGTCATAAAACCCAAAGTAGTTATATATTTAAATATATATATATATAATTTATATATATATATATATGCTACCCCCCCCCCCCCAGGGACCTACCTTTTGGCTGCCTCTCCAGTGCATGAATTGCCCATCTAGGACTGGGAGGAACGATCTCTCAACTAGGACCAGGACCAAATGAGACTAGAACCCAGGATCTCTGAACTGGGACTAGGACCAAACTAGGACTAGACGACCCACCTCAGATTCTTACAAAAAATGAACTTCAAGTATAACTTCCTCTGCAATGTCCTGTATATTTTCTAATTGTTGCAGTAAACTAGGGAGCAACCTAACACTAGAACCAAGGATCTCTCATCTAGGACCAAACTAGGACTAGACCATTTAATTCTACTTCTTATAGTATTTGGATGTCAAGTATTACATTCTGGTGGAAAAAAAGTCCTGTTCAATATTTGGTCCTAACATGTAAATTCTGACTGGATATTATCCTTATTTGAAATTGAATTGTTCAGCTAGAAGTTGCATAGAACTTGACTAATATATTAACTACACTTCATAACGAACTTCCTTTGTAATGTCCTTTATACGTTCTATGTATTTCAGTAAGCTGGGACCATACTTGGCCTATAACCAAGGATCTCCCAACTAGGACTAGGACCAAACTAGGACTAGCTAGTTCTGAAAGTGATTGAATTTCAATGTACAATGGTCTATTGTACAGAAGATAGTTTGTACCCTTTCATTTGACATAAACAGTCAATATTTAAGTTCGAATCTAAATCGTAATTTTGGCTGGAGTATGTCCTTCTTAAGCTCCATTGAATTTCAATCAGAAATAAGGTTGAATTTGATAAAACATACTAAGTGGAATGCATAAGGAAAGAATCCAAAGGTCCCAAACTTGTGTCTTTCACTAGTCCTAACACTACCTTGGTCAGAAAACACCGTAAAACACAGTGTTGTGTAGCGTTTTTCATACTCAATTCACATCTCCGCCAACGAACGCTCTCTAAATGCTCATTTGAACTTGAACAGGATGTAATTGGGACTCAATACGGAAATATTTGGTCAGAATCCTAATGGTAATCAAATTTGAGATTGAAATAGAGTTCCTTTCCCAATATATACTTGCAATTCAATATGAGCTTTAACAGGATTTGATAAGGAAAGAACCCATATTCTCTAGACAAGTCTTCTTTGCAAACGCGAGTCCAGGCCCGAGTGAAACCCATTGAGACCGACTGAAATTTCAGTTGAGCCTGGGTTCAAGATTCCCTAGAAAACTTTGACCTGCAATCTTGAATGTGGGCCTAGATTGAAACAGATTGAATGAATAATCAGGACTTGGATGCTTGCACAACACTGTGCTAAAGTACAGCCGCGCAAAGTGCAATGTTGAATTTGGGTCTCGATTTAAACCGATTTAAATCGATTTAAGTTTAAATCGGGCATGGATTCAAGATTCAAGATTCAAGAATCCAGGCCAAACTTTTCCAGGGATTCTTGAATCCAGGCGTCGATTTAAACCGATTTAAACCGATTTAACTTAAATCGGGCATGGATTCAAGATTCAAGATTCAAGACTCCCTGGAAAAGTTTGGCGTGGATTCTTGAATCTTGAATCTTGAATCCATGCCCGATTTAAGTTAAATCGGTTTAAATCGACGCCTGGATTCAAGAATCCCTGGAAAAGTGTGGCCTGGATTCTTGAATCTTGAATCTTGAATCCATGCCCGATTTAAATTAAATCGGTTTAAATCGGTTTCAATCAAGCCTGAAGCTTCCAGAACGTCCTTGGAAATGCTTCTTTTTCATTGCTCTCCCCAAAGCCCAAAAAAGGGTAGAACACACTGCAAATACCAGTGAATTCATCAAAAAGGTAGGTCCCTGGGGGGGGGTACCATATATATATATATATATAAATGTGTGTTAAACATCTTCGACTGACTCATCTGAAGATGTGCAGTTTTCCGCCCGTTGCCATTTTGTGGGTGCCGGATTTCCGAAAACTTCTATAGCACGCCCCCAACTACTTTTTTGTTTTTGGTAGACCCTTGCAAGTAGTGGTTGTCCTTTTGGTTTCCCTTTAAAACCAGCAAACATGGGGACTCCCTCAAACAAGACACACCCATATGGGGGGGGGGTGGTGAGCTGCCCCAAGCGGTTGAAGGCACCAAGCCGAAAGATGGGCCTTCCGTTCCCAGAGGCTCCAATTCGATTTTTCGGGGGGGTCGTTTTGGGGTCGGGTCGGGTCTTCCATTGAAAGCCGAAGCCGATCGGAGCCTCTGGGTTGCAGAAATCCCTCAAGACGATGCAGTTTAGTGGCGGCAACAAGAGGGAAATCAAAGAGAAACCGAAGGCAAATCAATGGGAGAGCAAAGTGAAGCCGCAAGAAACCCAACAGAAAGAAAAGCCAAAGGGAAGCCAAAAGAAAGCAAACAGAAAAGCAATGGGAAGCCAAAGGGGAGCGAAAATAACCAAACAAAAAGTCAAGAAAGCCTCAGAAACCGAGTGGAGACTTTGCAGACCTAGGTGAGCCACAATCAAAACCCGGGTAGATGAAGGTTATAGTAAGGGACAATCCCCTTGCCATAAATGGGTGCGGAATTCCGCTTTCTTAATTCTTGAAGCATGGTTCTGGGATTACATTTCAATACCGGGTTTCGAGTGCCTAGACTCTCCACGACCCTTTAAACATGGGATCATTACGCAAAAGAAGGGTCAAATGGGCCCATATTTAAAGGGTCAGCAGGAGAGTCTAGGTGGAGACTTTTTCAGATCTGGCTGTGGGTCAAAACCAATGGTACCATTTTGGGGATGGTGCACCGCCGATTTTAGTCTATTTTAGTTGGGATTGGGATGTTCACTGGGGGCTAACCGATTGGGATTTTGACCCATGGGCACCTAGGTGAACTTCCTTGCCTCCCTCAGTGCGGGCGCAGCCATCCTTTTCTACTCCGGCCAGTTTGAAGTGCCGCTCGACTCGAGCGAGTCGAGCTTGCCGTCGAATGCGCATTCGAGAGGCAACCGGAGGGCCAATCGGCAGTGAATTGTCTCCTAGGGGCCCACTTTCGGTTCCATGCGTTTTTGTTTGGTCAGATTGTAGGGTAAATAGGACCCCTTTTCCTTTTTGGGGAGGGCGGTCCCTGAAATTCTGAAACAAAGCAAGCCCCCCTCCCCAGGCTTTCCTACAAGCGCCCCTTTTCAAGTTGCAACTGATGGGTCATTGTTTGCTCCTGGATTTCTGATTCGAAGTTGCACGTGTTTTTTTCTTTGCGGGGCGGCGATCTTGATTCCGCATGACCTCCAGCAGGGCAAACAATGTTGAAAAACAAAAAGAGACCCTATGCGCCTTCAACGGGAATAACACATGGTGTAGACTCGGCGGTTCCCAGCCGTCCTTGGCTTTTGAGACTTGGATTTAGTTGTATTTTCCATTTAACCCACTATGAGGACAGCCCAGTAGACCATAGCGCTGCTACCAGCTGTTTGAACGGGGCATGTTGAAACAACCTGCCTGTGGCCTTGCCAAAGGGAGGGAAACCCGAAAGAGCCTTCTTTAACAACGGCCCTTAAAAAATGGTTGGTCATTACCCAATTTTTTTGGGGGTCAAATGGGCCATTTTAAAGGGTCATGGAGACTCTAGGAAGTTGTTTAAGCCGGGGCTTTGCCCATGGATATCGGTCAGGACGCGCTTCGTCAAAGAGCTGGAGCGCGAAGACGAGCTTCAACCCACCTGGTGCTCCAAGACGGGTTGGACGGCCAGCGAAATGCCGAAGATCTTTTGACCGTTTGGTTTGTGGGTTCAATTCGGAAGATCCACAAAGTGAAAACAAAGTTAAATTCCAAAGATCCGTTACCAAATAGGCCACAACTCCATTCCCTTTGGCAACCATTTTTCGGAGAAGCAAGCCAGGGTTTTCCACAAGCTAGCCAGAGCCAAAGGTTGCACATGCAGAAAGTTCTACTGGGAGTTCGCCAAGACCAGTTCTTTGGGTAGGCGAGCTTCTTGTTGAACCTCCTGTTCGTGTCCATAAGAACCCCGGCCTGAGCCAAGGATGCCCACCCTCTATACTTCCACCTTGTGGTCTTAAACCTCGCGCGGCTGTGTTTAGCCAACTTGCCACGTTTTTGCCCTGGCGGGGTGGTGTTTCAAGGGAGGATCCTGTCGCACACGCTTCCCACAACAGAGTTTGCAGGCCGCGGTCAGACTGTCCTTGGCACCTGGCCAGCTGTATCAGTTTGAAGACCTAAGTTTGAACAGGCCTATGCCGCCAAATTGGTTTCCCGAAATTAGGGATATGTTTTTAGCAAAGTGGAAGGGAACTAGGTGTCAACTGTAGTTGTTGGCCTCCGAGATTTTGGGCGCGAAGAGTCATACTGTGGATGGACGAAATCATGCACCACCTAAGAAACCCTGGCATGATGATTCCCCTGCAAGCGAATCGACCTTCTAACCTTTTGGCTTCTCTTGGTCCATTTTTTAGCTCCTGCGGGCAACTGAGTTGAGCAATCATTGACCCTGATGGATCCAATGGCCCTCTTGTTGCAGAGAAGGCAGGGTGCCTAGCCACTGTTTCGTTGATTCTCCTGTGGGTGCCCAAAAACCCCGCGATTCGCCAAGCATTCCGTAAGTACTACCGAAGATGAAACACGTTAGCTAACAGCGGCAGTAGTTTTTCTTGTTTTGGTCCATATTTAGTGGAGGTCAGGTCCTTTGGAGAAGTAAGTTTCAGCTGTTTGGGAACATACTGGTAGGTGTTTCCCCACTCGCCAGCGAACAATTTTCCTCAATTTTCCTCAAGGGGTTTTCTGGGCTCCAGTGCTAAGGTATCCAAATTTGTGCAAAGAGGGAGCCTTTTGGAGCTACCATTAGTTCTGGACGGCAGGAACACCAAAGATCCAACCTTCTTGCCAGCTGCGGCCCGGATTCGGTCAGTAATAGGGCCATATAGGGCCTTGGGGCCTAGAATTGTTTCCAGAACCCAGCTGAGCAACCCTTCTAGGAGTTTAGGCACCTTCCCGGGCCTTCGGCCATTGGCGTATAGGTACTTCGCAGTGCCCGCGGTGCACGAGGCGGTGCTGAAACGAGCAGCAGAGTTAGGCAGGGCAAGCCTGCCCTTTCGCCTGCCCTTTTTGTTGAAGTCTGCATGTCACCTTGGGCTTGCCGTTTCTCAAGACGCTGGGACATTTGTGGGGTGAAGACCCAGATGGCATCCCCAACAGAAACCTCAGGTTGTCCTTTCCGGAGCCCGGAGCCACTCCGAACACTCGATGATCAGGGACCCCAAAGCTTTGAGCTGGGGAATCAAAGGGCACCTTTCACAAGGGAACAGATTAAAGGCGTTCGGCTTTTTTGACTCCCTCCCTGTTTGTAAGAGCATCCCGGTTTCGAGGCATCCGATTCCTTAGGTTCTTCAGGTGTTGGGTTAAGTTAAACTTTCAGCAGGGGATCAGCCGAGCGCATAGCCTTTGGGACAAGAATGTGTCATCGCAGACGGCTCTCACTATCAAACCACTGAGGACCAAGGTGTACATACCCTTTATGCTAGCTATATAGTGGCAGTTTTCTCCATAGCCGTGGGGCTGGTGGTTTGGGGGTAGTCGAAGCCATCTTAGGCATTAGCTTGTTTTGGTTGCCAAACCTGGCCATAGCTCAAGGAACTCATTTCGCCACGCCTTGGCTGGTGTGTGTTCCTTTTTTGGGGTCCCCCCTCTCCCCCCCAGAAATAATGGTTTTCCACTGGTTTCCCTCCGTAACCAACACGTGTTGACCTTTTGTGGCCAGTCCACTCAGGCAATCTTTTGGTTCGGTGTTAAAAGGGACAAGTTCCTGAAAGGGAAAGCGCCTTGTCATCAACTGGGTCAGTCTTGAACATGACCATGCGACCACGAGGCAGAAGTCTAGTCTTGTTGATGCTGCAGGTGAGGGGATCCTACCATATCCTACCCGTTTTGAGAATGCACTTGTCCATGGTTGTGACCATGGAAACTTTGGATTTTAGGTTGCCACTTTCTCTGATAGAAAGGTGCTTCAGTAGTCATGGGGATGACCCACTTTGGTATCACACTTCTTTGTTTTGCCACCATCCACTTCCTGTAGGTCTCTTAAACTCACTTCGAAGTTGCTGTGTACCAATGTGGGCCTTGCAACCATCAACCTTCTTGCTTAGTCTCACTCACTTCCTGAGTTCAACTGGACTTGGGCACTTTCATTCGACTGGCAAGCTTACAAGGTCCTGAACTTCTAGCCAACTCACTCCTTCCCACCTCGAAACCCCACCCCTCGAAGTGAGTGACACGGGCACCCGTTTACGGCGACAGTGGAAAGTCGTGTCGCAGCTTGAGCGCTCGGCCAGGCCGGCCCTTGAAGCACCGCGTGCCGCTCGGCGCGGGGAAATTGGCTCCCTCCTAAACGCCGCAAGGTGCCGCCATGGCACCTGACAGAGGGTGATCCAGAAACCCCACAGATACCTTCTGATAGTGCTAGTGGTACCTCCCCTTTCTTTCCAGGGATCCTTCTTTCCAGAAAACCTCCAGAAATCCAGGGAAAACAGCAGGCTTTTGAAAAGAACGACGATTGAAAAGAATGGGGAATCAACCCCTGGATATAGCTTCCTTTTTCAATTTGCCAATGACCAACTATCTGCCCTAGCCATGTTTGTGCGAGGGAGGCGGCTAGGTCCTTTTTCTTGCTGGACATGTATGTGCAGATGTTGTTGGCTTTGGCTTTGCGTGCTTATGCGGCTGTTTCATCCGGCAGCTGGTGTATACTTGGTCCTCAACGTTACGAGTGGGAACGGATGGCGCGTAGCCCTTTACCCGTTGATGACATTGAAAGACGGCACTGGCATGACCTTGGCATCAGCGAGACTGGTCCTCCTCTGCCCCAAAAGGCATGCTTGAACAGTCCAGAAGACGCCTCTTCAACTGATGTTACTGAATCCTCACTGGCGATGTGGGGTCACATAGGCGCAAAGGAACAAGCATTTGTTTTTTTGGTTTGTTGCAAAGGAAATCCCAAACTACATGGCCCAAATACGCTCCGGGTTGTTCCGGGACGACTCTGAGGGTTTGAGGTCCAGGCTGTTGGGGATGTCACCTGGGCTTATGTCCACAAAACGTAAAGGTTAAGGCAGCCAAGGTGGAGGTGATCACGGGGTAATCCAAAAACCCCCAGGTTGAGTCATCTTTGGGACACCTGCTCTTGGTGGCATTGAATCAGCTTCCCCCCCAATTGGCGGATTGGCTTGGTGGTTTGGTGGTTTTCCCATTCACCCTCAAAAAAGAACCAGGGGTTCAATTCCAAGGGGGGGGGACAAAGCTTTTTTGGGGCGGCCCAACAAGTTGTATGTTGTCATTTCGTTCCTAAAGAAGGGGTATCCTCAAAAAGAGAGCGGACTCAACCTCTCTAAACCTGATTTGTGATTCAACCTGACATTTTTCATTTACCCGTGCGTAAGATCCTGAAAAGCACAAAGAACAAAAAACAAAACAGAGAAGGCCAAACACAGAGGCAAGATCTCTTTTTTGTTGGGGGGGGTTCCTTCCCACTGGGATTTGCAACCGAGACTTCCCCCCCCTTCGCCCTCGAAGGAAGGTGATCCGCAGCGCTGGGGCGGCCATCTCCCAGCAGAGCGGCCAGAAGCTCATGGAGCTGTCCCCCGGCGCCGCCAAAGCTTTGGGGGACCCGGAAGGAATTGGAGCGCAGGGTGAAAAAAGGGAGCGCAGGGACAGAACTCACTTCCGACTTCCGGAGGTCTTTCGAGTCGGGCGCCGCAGCTTTCTTTGGTGCATTTGTTCTTTGCCAAGGAATTTCAGGACTGAACAGCTTGTTGGCAACTCAGAGGGGTTTTCCCAATTCAACCACTAAGAGTGAGTCACTTGTAGCAGGGGAGCAGAAAGCAACCGAGTTTTGGGGGACCCGGAGGAAGGAGTTGGAGCCCGGAGGGGAGCTTTCAACTAGAAGAGCAAGTTCCGGAGGCCATGGACTTGATCCTCACTTTCGGCTTGGCGAGTTGCCATCTTTTTCGTGGGGACATCCCCAAAGTGTGGGCACCTTTTTTTGTTGGCCATCCAGGATCCACTCACTCGGACCAAAGGGGAACATGAGGTACGAACCCTTTTCCCCGAAAATCCGGGCTCTTTTTGTTGTTTTGCAGCGGACATCCCAGCAAAGGTGCGCCTCTTGGTTACATCTAAACCTGGGTGCTCCTTTGAACTTCTCAAGGTAGACAAAATATGAAGCCCGAATGCAACAAAAGAGATCTGAGTAATTTCCGCAGAATCGGGCCAAGCAGGTTCGCCTATAGGAGGTTTTCTTCGTTCTGCTAGAAAGCCACCCACACTTGCCTTTTCCAGACTTGTCCGAAACGAAGGATCCCTAGAAAGGACTGGGTTGCAACGTTTCGCCTGGCTGGTTGGAAGGCAAGGAGCTGGGGGTTATCCAAATTGGCCTTGAAGGGAGCTACCAGGAGGTCTGCCACTGCAGACTAGGTCCCCCAGCTAGGTGCCCTTTCCCTTCCTTTGTTGGGGGGAGGGTTCCCCTACTAAAATAGACTACAGAAAAAAGGGTACCCTTATTCTAACCTCGCTACTGGAGGACCTAGTAGAAATTTGGGACCGTTCTCGTGATCCAAGCCTCATGCGAGGTTCAACTGCGCAGTGACACCCGCCTATGGCATGACGGAGGCCAAGGGGCTTGTTGAGCGAGCGGGGCGCGCGAAAAGGCGATCGAGGCCCTGGCTGGTCTCAGCCTCAGCAAAATAGTTGTGGTTTGGAAAATGCAGCGGATGCACGAAATCCTGCACCACCTCAGAAACCATGGGAAACCTCTGTTTTGTTGGTATTTACGGAAGCATTATTCCAGGGTTTGTTAGGTGGTGCAGAATTTCGTCCATCCACAGTATCATGGTTATGTTTGGGAGTGTGCCCCAGTTTGGCGGTGGTCAGTCTCAAGAAAAACGGTCTCTTAAATCGGTCAAAGCGAACCTGGTTGCCGGTTGCTGCCCTGCACCCTCTCCCACCCACCAAAAACCTTGGAACAGATGTCCGTGAATGACAATCACACCGACAGAGTTTTGGGCCGAACCTTGGTCAATGGGTTATGACATGACATATCCAGACTTCGGAAGGCAGGCGTTCGCCAACCACAATCTTCAGCAAAACGGTTCTTTGGTTGTCCTTCTCAAGCCTTCCTTTTGCTAAGGCCAACATTCCACCAACCTCCCCACCAACCACCCAACCACCCCACCCCACATCCCACCAGCCACCCCACCCAGGCCCTGAAAACTCACCCCTCGCAGGCCTTGGAAATCACCTGCCCCTCTGCACAGTACAAGCTCGATCGGCCCGGCTCGGTGGGGCCATCCATCAGCTGCCTGGCGTGATGATTCCGCGATCCTTTCGCCTGGATGGTCGGCTGGATGCGTCCCGAACACGGGAACAGGAAAGCCCCGGTATGAGTCTTTAGGTCATTGGTGACCCTTCCATCCACATGGAACCTTACCGTCCTGGAAGACCATTTCCCTTTGCAAGGGACCCCCTGGTGGGTTCTATTTTAGTGGACCGGAGGGCAATTAACAGTCAGCTGTGGCTTCATTGCCAAACGCCAGCCTTCAAAGTTAACTTATGGATGTATACAATGAGCCTTTGAGCTTGCCCTGCCAGCCCTGTTTTGTTGTTCACCTTGTTTGCCTTTGGTTTGGCGGGTTTCCAGCTAAAAGTAGGTTGCCAACCTGAAAGAAATGGTTCCTTTTTTGCCACCAGGTGGCAACTGCAGCTTTGTGCATGCACAACCTGTGCCTAGGCCTTGGTGCTTACAACTGTTGTATACAACCGCAGGAGGCTATGCTTGATTCGGCCTTCTTGGATCGCCCTTTGTTGTGTGAGTTCAGTCTGAGGTGCAGAGATCAAGCTCATAGAGGGAGAGGTCTGCATTCGAGGGGACCTGGTCATGGAAGGCGCGCCTTGAGCCCAGTGTTCCATCTTTTGGAGTCAAGTCCCGTCCCAAGGAATCGGACTCGGAGATGGATGATGTGTCAAAGTTGCAAGGAAACCACCAGCACCCCGAAGCGAAGCAACTGCTTTTTCCCACGTCCAACATCCCACATACTTTCCGGAAAGCAGTGGTTGGGGGGGGGGGGCTGGAAGGGGATTTGTTTGGTTGCCTTCGCTATTTGTAGACCTCCGATTTTGCTCCCATCATCATGGGCCTTGGACAGACTTGTGCTTTACTTCCCGCGGGTGGGTTTGTCTCGTTTGAGGGCAACCACGCAAAGGAACCCCCCCCATTTTGAGGAGTGTGCCCTCTTATTGGAGACAAACTCTTATGTTTGTCTTCAACTGGGACTTGTGTCACGGTATTTGTCACGTATTGTCCGCCTTGGGGGCCTAGGGGCTAACAGGGCTCCTTTGGGCGCCTTTTTTGGGTCCCCTTTCGGCGGGAAACTGCTACCAGGTTGCCAGGGCATGGGTAGGTAGGTGGGTGGGTATTCGATTGGTTTTGCAAGGGAACCCGTGGTTTTTGCCTGGGTTTCTTGTTGGCCCCCATAGGTTTTCTTGTGGTAACCCTTGCTTGAGCATTCTCTTGGGCGCATGGCAAGCGCGGTTTGATGTGCGGCCACGGCAGGCTACGAGCACCGCGGCGCCAACGACGAGGATCCCAACAGCGATGCTTGGACCGGCGGCAGCAAGGGCGCCGGCTACTTGCGGACGGGCCGCCTGACACGAAGGGGTGTGGACGTGGTTTAGGGACACTTTTTCTAATTCAGCTCTTCTTTTGAGTGCTTAAGAAGCTCGCGATGTGGACAGATCAACCCCTAAGACGCCAATGGACTTTTGGTAGGCCCGAACATTGTGGGAGGCCCAAGAGGCCACAAAACGATGTCGCGACGTTACCCCATGCGTAGGCTCGAGGGCCAAGGGATGGTTTTCATCACCTTGTGGTTGCCTTATCCTAACCCCCCTTTAAAACGGAATTGGGGGAGGGGGGTGACCCCTGGAATTCCATTTAGGGTTCCATTTTTCTTTTTGTGGGGAAGACTGAATAAATGGAATTGTGGACCCCCACCCCCCTCCCCCTTAAGGTAGGGGGGATGTTGCCTTTTTCCATTCTCCAGTTCTCGGTTTCCCAGTTTCTGGACCTTAGCTTTTTGGGGGACATTGGGCCCTGCTCAGACTGGGGACCCCTTTGTGTAGTGTCTACAGGCACGCCCAAAAAGCAACCGGAACCGGGCCCCGATTCGCGGAAACTCCCATGCAATTCTTTAGCCGCACTCTCAGGCGATCTGGGGCACATGGCAACTTGGCGACCAATTTGTCGCGCGAGGCGCGTTTTAAATATCCATGATTGGGAAGGCACATCTCTTCTAATGTAGGTTGGTGATCCTCTGGTGGGCAGCTTGAAATTATTTTTAAACCAACAGAATATGGATTTGCTTCTTTTCCAGAACCCCTATTTGGGGCCCAGAGATTTCTCAAATTCCTTTTTGCCTGGGTTTTCTCGAAAGATGCGGATCCATGGAAATGGGGCGACTCGCACTGGAGCTTTGCCCAAACCCTTCTCCAGCTTTGGCATCCCCAGCTCTCAGCAATGTATGGACGAGGGGAATGTCCAATGAAGCAGTCAATCCTTGTGCCAAGAAAGCCAGGTAGTGATTCCCTTGTGCTTGTGGGGTCCTGGAGCTCATTGACTAGGGGCCCGCCCCAGTTTGAACACCGACGTTGGCTGGATCCATGTGTTTCTTTTCTATTTCGTTAACCTTGAACTGGTTGCTTCCATTTGCGTGTCGGAATATGCGGTATGTGTCTTTGTTGGTGAAGGGAATCTATATACTCTAGTTACTGTTTACTCCGGGGAACTGAAGCAATTGGATGTTTGGGGAAACGTGTGACTTTCCAGTGGAGTCTGGGCCCCGAAAGAACTGTCCGGGAATGACTCCTATCAACATCTATCAACCATCCCCCATTGTGTTTCCTGAAAGGGGGGCCTTGAGGTTGATGCCCCAAGCCCAGGTTTTCGGCCATGGAAGTGTACAGCTTCCGTCTTTTGAAAAAATGACTGTAGTCACGAAAGGGGGGAATGATAAGAAGAATCCCCTTGAAATGGGCTGCGCCGTTCTCGCATGGGTGTCAGCTTCATGTTGGCGGCTTGCCACGCCACCACGTCCCATGTTTCTTGAAACGGGCCATGGCAGTGTTTGTTTGCTTTTGTGTACTCACTTCCTGAGTTCATGAACTTTAAACTTTTTGGGTTCGGACCATTTTAGTGGCAAATATAAAGTTTTGACTTTTTTTGGGCCATCCACTCAGCCAGTGAGACTGTCTTGTTTTGTTTGGCCTTGGAATGATCTTCTGATGTCCTGCAGTGTTCTTTGTGGGCGTGCTTGCGCAGTACTCTTTTAGTGCGCTTTTGCAGATGGACACAGTCCTGCAGCAGTTGGGGCGGTGGTTGACAAACCACCAATCCCCACCTGTGCATTCTGTCACATCCCCACCCCTTTAGGGTCCGAACACTGAGGGGGGGGGACGTCTGAAAATGTAACAGAAAGGCATACCCTGGCATTTTCACATTCTAAAGCAGCATGATGCTGATAATGAAGTTTCTTCCTTCTCTTTGGCTCAGATCCCTGGTGACTCTTCACAAGTCAGCTGCGCAGAAAAGTGCTGCAAGTCCCTTGTGTGCAGGGCCAGCATCTCCCAAAAACACGGTCTGCTGCGATTACAGGAGACGAGTGCTAGGGTATTTGGGCACCCCTTTTGCATTCGCATAAAAAGAAGCCAAAAGCAAAGCCCCTGATTTGGGTCCGCCCAAGCCCATTTCCACCTCTCAGTTCTCATGGTTAGGGGCCCCCCAAGAGAGGGGGACCCCCCACAACGGGTCCGATTCGGCAATCCAAGCCATCAATTGAGGGATAGCTGAAAAAGGGGCAGCCCTCTTTCCCCGTCAGCCCAGTTCGCTCCATTTTTCCAAGGGCCCTTTTTCACGTGCCCGCCCAAAAAGAAACCAGAGGAAAACAAAAAGAACGGGGGCAGAGTGGGGAAGACCCATTCCAGCGGCAAAGGTCGCGTCTGGCAACGGCTGTTTTTTTGCCCATAAGACTACTTGCTAGACGTGGAATGGCACGTAGAGATGAGGTCAGGCTGGCTGGGAAGAGGAAAAGATATAGAGACCCAGCCTCTCACCTCATCCTTACCTAACTCTCAGCGAACGAAGAGAGGGATATGAGAGTGTGGGAAGGATATGCTTTCTGCCTCCAACCGCTTCCTTCGATTTAGCGAGTAGATGGCACGGATGGGAAATAAAGAGAAGAAATGCCATCCCTACCACCATTCTATGCTGTAGGTGAAAGACATGTCCCGCCTTCACTCACTTCTCTTCGTTCCGGCTCTTCCCCCCAAAGAACTGTAAGCGGACCCCCCAGGTGCATAGTTCCGTTTTTTGTTGGTTTGTTGTGTTTTTTTTTTGGGGGGGGACGGGGGTTAAATGCAACTTGACACCTGGGCACGTAGTAGAGGCTCCTTTTCTCACCCCCCCCCCCCCTCCGAACAGAAAGTTGATTGACATGTTCACGGATTTTTCTGGAAAGCTTGACAGGGTGGGTCAGGGGAGTCGCAAATGCAAGCTGATGATGCTGGAGCAGGAGATGTGGCACATGCGCAGAGGCTTTTGAAGGCATTGGGGATGGTGTAAGTTTATAAAATTGGAACTTGGTGTTGTGCGAGGTACCTTGCTGGTAGGTCCACCGGCGTCCAAAATGTAATGTTACATTTTGGCACGTCCCCAGAAAGAAAAGAAGTAATCTTACATTTTTAGGTGGCAACCCCCCAAAAAATGCAAAATACATTTCCAGACGCCCCCCCCCCTAACGGGTTGGAGATGCTGTCACTTCATCCCCAGTTGGTGAACTGGTTTGGTGGTTTGGACCTAAAAACCACCACTCCAAACCTCCAAACCACCAGTGGACCTACAAACCACCACTCCAAACCAGCAGTTCAGGGATACCTCAACGTGAATTTTGCGTCCCAGCGGGATTCAAGCCACTCGCGCACCGAGAACCCGAGGACGAGGATGGCTGGCTGTACCTGACCGGCCGCAGCAAGGAGATGATCAATCGCAGGGACCTCGGCCAAAGCATCCGTCTAGGAGTCCGGGCGTGTCTTTCCCAACATAACTGCCAGGTCCCCCAGCTAGGTGCCCTCTTTTACCGTTTTTTTTGGGAGAGATTCGGTTCCCCTACTAAAATAGACTACAGAAAAAAATGGTACCCTTATTCTAACCTCTCTACTGGAGGACCTAGGGCGTGTCTTTCCCAAGATAGACTGTACTTTGGGAAATTCGGGGGTTTGTTGGCTTGGCCGGTTGGTTGGTAGTTTCTTTATTTTGCCAAGGGATGTTAGGACTGGAGAACTGTTTGAGCCAACTAAGAGGGTTTTCCGTATTAGACCACTAGAAGTTAAACGTTTAGCAGGGGAGCAGAGAGTAATTAAGTTTACTCTGATGAACCCGGAACACCTGTTGGCTAGGTGCTACTAAGCCCGGTTTGGTGGAGAGGTTGTGGTGCCTAAGTTCCCTAAGCTCTTAAAAGCCGTTTACAGCAATGTTTGTACATCCAACATGTTTTTTGTTGGCACTGCTCGTTTTCTCCTGGGCTCCAGGAGACATGTTCGTGCTAGTTCTGTTTGAAAGAAACAGGTGTTCCATCCAGATCACAGGTTTCTAACTTACATTAGGGGCCTAAACTTCAATTTCCATCAATTTCGCGTGGGTTAAGTTCACAAACAATGAGAGAGCGGCAACAATTATGGAACATGCCGCCTGTGAACCCCAAAAAAGTCGGCTAGCAAACCGGCCAGGAAAACCTTTTCCTGGAACAGTTGCAAGCCTTCACGCGCCTCCAGTTCAAGCAACATGACGTGGATTGCCAAGAACAGTCCAAACTTGTTTATGCCAAACCCGCCTGAAATGATTTGGGAGCCTTAGCTCGAAAACCACGTTGGCGCAAACATGTTGCAGTCGACAGTAAGAAGCACTCCCATTCATGCGCAAAAAAGCATCATTTTTGGGACCCCGAGGATGCATTGCGCCACAGATTCACCCAACTTGCCAGTCCGAGCACATGGCCACCTTGTGGCAATCGCACATGTACCTTTCATGTGTCCCAGGGTGTGGCTCAAAACTAGGGGCCTGAAACGGAACCCTGGCGAGAGAAAAGTACATAGTACTGAAAAATAGGGGCCTGAAATGGAACCCTGGCAAATAGAAAAGTACATGGTAGACTAAAATCTGCGGCCCCCTGGCTCTGAAATTCTGAGCCACACCCAGGTGTCCGGTTGTTTCTCGCTGGTTGTTTTCAAGCAGGGAAACGGCCAGGATTCAAAGATGGCTTACTCTGTCAGCGACACCTCGCGCAAATTTATTGTGTGTTGTTTTGTTGCCCCCATCCCCGCCGTCTTCAAACACAGATGCAAATGGATCACAGGTGTTTTGTCTCGCCTTCTAAGCTAAACCATGAGAACCGAACTTGCCAAATCGTCCAACAACCTGCCCCAAAGTGGCTCACGCCCACAGAATAGCTGTGCCGTTGGGTGTACCCAGTACCCTGACTCCCACTAACATGGCACGACAGGGTTCCCTACAAGAGGAAAATGATCTTCCAAGTACCTCCCCACAGATGCCTTCCGGTAGTGGCAGGAAGAGTAGTTCCTTTTCCCATTTGCTAATCATCTATGTTCTCTTCCAATCACGTCGAATGGGAGCAACTCTAAAGAACAAATTACTCGGCATCCCCAAGTCCCCACTGAACCACTATTTCCTATGGTTGTCAAGGCCCCCCTAAAAAAAGTTGCACCAGTGGGGTTTCTGGGGATGGGTGGCTTTTGGTCCAGTTTCTCTTTTAGCGGGGCCCTGACAGCCTTAAACCAAGCCTAAACCAAGTCGAAACCAGCCTTAAACCAGGCTTAAACCTTCATTTGCTTGTTTTTCGCCCTGGAAAAACTACAGACTACTTCCGGTAGTGATAGTGTCCCGTTAAAACCAGGAGGTGTTTTGTTTCTAAGAAACAAAGAAACAACACATTCTGACAAGCTGGAGGCAAACCATGCTTTTGGCTATCGAGGCGGAGGTGAGACCATCAACCCTCACGAGGTGGAACCCGCGTTGGCCGGGTCCCCGGTTACCGGGAACAATTGGAGCGGCTTTTGTCATCATGGACGGAGGGGGGGCTGTCCTTATCAACCTCGAAAAAGGCCAAAAGGGCGTATCCTTGGCTTATCCAGGCATAGCCCCCTTCATAGCCCTTAGGGGTCCATGATGTCAGCAAGCAGATTTACGTGGAACCCAATCAAGAGATCCGGTTGGGGGTGTCATTGCTTGTCCTGGTGGTTTTAACGGGAGACCTAAAGGAAACCCGAAATCCATTTTGGTGGTTAAAAAAAAAACAAAAACTAGACACCTTTTTGTTGAGGAGTCTCCTGTGGGGAAATGGACCCCTCTAGGCTGGGTTCCATGTACTGTAATTTGTTGGGGAGTACTTGTGAAGGGCGCCGGAGTCGGTGGGTGTTATCCAAATTTGCCCGTATCCTGGTTTCCAACCCACTTTATAAGGGGTATATACCCCTTTTGGGGAGAGGGGTATGAACATCCGCAAGCCTTTTAGTTCATTTTTCCAAGTGGTATGCACAAGCACCCCTGGACCGTAAAGCTGACGGCAGCCAGCCGTCCGGTTCCTTACCTGTTTAGTTGTTTGTTGTTTACCCAGACGTTCCCGATCAATTTAGGGCTCTCCAAACAGCCAGGTTTTGAGAACCCCAAACAATCCCGGGCTGTCTAATGGAGGGGTCGGGTCTTTCATGGAAAGGGTCAGGAGCCTCTGGGTAGTTTGTTTAGTGGTGGAAAGAAATGGCAGCCCCCCTTCAGGTTTCACTATTCTGGCCGGATTTGCAAGGAGGGTTGGCAACCCTGGTAAGGGTGAACAAGAGGAGGAACTGGATTGAGCCAGTAAACGGCTGGAATGGCCAGATGAGGAGATAGAGGGCCATGCTGCCACAGACTAAACACTGAGGGGCCTCGTGCTTTCTACTGTTTAGTTGCATCTCAACTTTAGCTAACTTTTAGCTAAGATCGCTTCTTCCCCCCAATCTATAGCAAGTGTTGTTTTCTTGTCTTCTTTGTTTTTTTCTTTAATGGGGCAATAGCCACCAAGTATATAGGCCTTTTTGACCACTTTGACATGAAGAGCGAGTTTGGCACGCCGACAAAACAATCAACACATGGCTTCTACGTGGCAAAATGTCAAGTGCCCCAAGGTCAAAAGCATGTCCAAGGGAACTTCCTCCAAATGGTGTTTCAACAGGGCCCGAGGATTGATTGAACATCACTTTTGCTATCTGAGTTAGGGGATCCCCGTGTGAACTAGGTGGTGCTTTTGGATGGCACCAATTCAAAGGACCCCCTGGTTTAGCATGGGTCTCCAAATATGGGAAACAAACAAACAAAAACTGCGTTTTGCTCTCTGTTTCCCTTGAAATGGCATCCCTCTCAAATATGGGCTGTGTTGATGGACGAAGTCCTGCATCAGTTGGCGGGTGATTGCTCCAAGTGCCGGCTGGTTTCCAAAGACTTTGCCTTAAAACATCGTCACAGTTGGGAACATCGGCATTTGGCCACCAGGGCCCTTCATATGAATACATATCTTGAAGAGGTAGGAACTCTGAATCTGGACGGGGGATTTAAGAAGCTGGCAAAAACGGACATCCTACCGGGTATTTAACTTCTGCTTGGGTGGTTGTTTGCAAACATCGGCGCGGAAGTTCCTTTCGAGAACAAGCCTGTATCATGGGGTTGTTGTTGAATGTGCTGGGAATGTTGCCCGCCCAAAGAATCACCAGCGCTAGGAAAAAGCCAGTAGGAATTTCAGAAGCACCGCTGCCATACACACTCCCTGAGTTGAGATACTTTCTTGAGCTTCGCCCCATTTTCGTGGTCAAACAGGTCGGTCACGCTTGTTTGATCCATGCGCTCGACCCTCCAGCATACGGTCTTCACAGTTCTTGGCAAGTTCTTTGTTTGGTTTTTTGTTCTTTTGGTTCTGTTCATTGTTGCCTGGGGTCTGACGCCCATACCAAGAGTTTGTAGAGGCTTTGGCGAGTGGCCCTCTGCTTCACCCGACCAAAGCTCGCGTGTCGCGCGGAAGCGAGCGAGCTGAGGCGAAGGTGCCAGGCATCGAGCTGGCGGTGTGCTTCTCCGCACCCCACCAGGCGGACTTGATGGAACTCGAGTCGTGGATTTGGAAAACTCGGTGCCCCAGTAGTGCCCTTCTCTCCCCTTTTTTTGGGGGAGGGTTCCCCTACTAGGAGAAACGACAGAAAAAGGGTACCCTTATTCTAAGCTCTCTACTGGAGGCTATAAAAGCAATCGTGTCCGTTTCGGTGACGGTCAGGGCCGGATCTTTAAGAGAAAAACAAAGTAGGTTGCAACTTCTGACAGCAAAAACAAAAGGGGTATATCTTTTGTAAGTGTTTTTCCTGAAATTACGGCATACATTAGACTTAAGTTCTCTTGGGCACCACTTTGTTTGGAAGTGACGCCAAGTGAAACCACGGTACCTCGACATGGGGAGCTTAATCCCAGGTCTTAGCGTTTCGACATACGAAACGAGAGGCTCGGAAGGGCGGCTGGATCTGCAATGCTTTGGGAGGGCCCCAATTGAGTCACAATCAAACCGGGGTAGATGAAGGTTAGTAAGGGACAATCCCAGCCATAAATAGCTGCGGCCGCCTTCTTAATTCTTTACATGGTTCTGGGTGGACCATTTTAGTACCAGGTTTTGATTATGACTCAATTCAGGACAGGGGCGATTTTGCAGCCCCCCCCCGCCCCCTTCTCCCCCCAAGCGGCAGGCACTCGGGGAGTGCATCGGCGCGGCGCTGGTCTTGCAGGAGGGCCTCGAACCGTGGCAGCTGCAGCCCAAGGACCCCGCGCTCCGCGCTCGCCCGGAGCCGCAAGCACCGGGCGCGGTTCCACTTCGGGTGAAGGATAAAAAAAAAAAAAAAAACGGCTGCAGCATGGGGTGATTTGGTCAGTTCTGTTTCTGGGGGTTATCAATGTGAGAAAATGACCCCAAGGACTTAAGCCACAACTTAAGCCACAAATGTGGGGCTTGCATGGCCAAAGTCATTATTTTGGTTCTGGTTTTGTTTCCCTTTCGCCCACAACTTTGGAGATGACTTTGATCATGGTAAAATCATGAGGCCAGTTGCCAGTTGGTGGTCTTCTGAGAACGGTTCCCATTTGCCTCTACAAGAGGCGGTTCAAATTCCAAAGCACTCCAAACCACCGGCTGGTTGCCTGAAAGACTCACTTGCAACCAAAGCGAATCGACCGGATCTGGCCTTTTGTGGTCCATGTTTAGTCATGGCCACTAAAAGGTGATCACCTTTATTTCTGGGTCCTTTGGGCGACCGAGATTCCCCTGTCGGTTTGTTTCTTCATTTTCCCCGGGTGTGTGAAAGGGAATCGATTTCACTTCTGGGACTCACTTCCCGAGTTCATAGACTTCAAGCTTTTGGGAAAGACCGCTTTAGCGGTAAACAACAAGTTCTGACTTTTTTTGGCCAGTCCACTCAGGAGTCCAGGGACATAGTTTAGTTTAGTTTTTTTCTCAGGGGACTCAAGCAAATGGATGATCCGCAAGATCCGACTATGGACATCTCCGGGAGGTTGCACCAGTTTCACTCCACTGACTGCGCTCTTCAAGGGCAATCTCCTTGGGAGGTCTCGCAACAGGTACGGGCACCGCTGTTTCGGACACGTTTTGTTCTTTGGTTTCCCCCTTTTTGGTCAGGTTGTTCAACGGAAGCCAACAGGAAAAGTCCGCGATTTTGGGGAGTCTCCCAAAAACCACGCGCAGCCAAGCAAACCGTTCCGCGCGAGAAGGCCACCAAGCCCTGGGGTTCTGCCGGGAACTCGGCAGGACATCCTGGCGCGCTGCGAGCAGGAGCTTTCTGAGGTGATGCGGCCTGAGGCGCCCGGGAAACGTGTTTTCGAGCGCCCCCCAAAAAGATTGAGGGACCAAAAAGGACACGAAGTGCTATAGCTTCACTGTTCTTTGCAAGTTGTGTTTTTGTTGGTTCTGTTCATTTTAGTAGGGGGCTGGAAAAAAGAAGCGTTCTACCATACCAAGTGTTGTGGGGGTTGGCATAGGGCACCCATAGGCTGACCTCTATGATTTATGTCTAGGCTCGGCAAAGCACGAGCACAAAAGCAGCCGTCAAGGCCTTGTGGGAATCGTTCGCCAGAAGACCTATTGTTGAACAACATCTACGTTTGGTTTGGCCCTTTCGGGCTTTCAGAGTGGGTTTCGGGGTGCTGGATGCTTGGTTTTGGTTGGTTTGGTTGATGGACTTCGGTCTGGATGGAGGCAAGTTACTCCCTGCAAAATAAACGTGTGGCCCAACACGTACTTGTCATCTTGTCCAGGTTAATCAGAACAAGGTGTAGCCAAGTGGGTATTCCGTAGGAATGGGGGGGGACCCTATCAAAAAGTCTTGTCAAATTTCACCGGCCATGCACAGGGTTCTCTGCACAATCTTTAATTGCATGTTTGCCTGACCATTGTAACCCCCCAAATATATATACATATATATATATATATGTGTATATAACCAAGATAAACATGGCGACCCTAAAAACATGGTCAACCCCAAACAGGACTCCATGTTCTCCCAAGTTCGCTGCGCAAGGCATTGGGGCTCCAGTGGAGCTCCGGGATCTCCAAAAGAATTGTTGAGAGGAAATCCCCTCCCGTCCACTAACATAGACTCCGTTGCCCAAAGCGAGTCGACCTTTTAACCTTTTGGTTTTCCAATTTTGGTCTATCTTTAGTAAAGGCCCCAAAAGGTTAACCTTTTACTCCTGGATCCTCTGGGCGACTGAGTAGAACTATGTTCCTTTAAAAAGGGGTCCTTTGATGAGAGTGGACAGGAGGGTATAAAATCTGATTTGTGCGTCCGCGAGCTTGGGCCAAGTTAATTATGACTGACTCAACCGCCCAGGTGTTCGTCTACCTCCCGCGGCATTTGCTCCCGACAACTGCAACCAAGAAGTTCGTCCGCGCTGGGCTGGTGCAGAAGTGCTCTGGTCCAGAAATCTTTAAGCTAGGTCTCCCAGTGCCCTTTTGCCCCTTTTTGGGGGGAGGGTTCCCCTACTAAAATAGACTACCGAAAAAATGGTTCTAGCCTCTCCACTGGAGGACCTAGCAAGGGACCTAGGGCTTCAATAGGGTCGGGCAAGGGGTGAAGCAAGGCCCGGTCTGTTGAAGGGAGCCCAAAGGAGGCCGTCTAATTCTTTCTCACGGGTGTTGAAACGTGGCACCCTGTGATCCAATGTGGATCTTCGGAATTCAGGGCCATGGTATTTATGTCCATGAGGCGGGAAGGTCGAAGACGAAGCATTTCTCAAAACGCCAGACCTCTGAATCTGATCTCCGAGGCTTTGGGCTTCAGATGTTGTGAGACCAGCTTAGTCTTTCATTTGCTGAAATTAATATTTTGTTTGTTTCCCCCTGTTGGTTTTAAAGTTGGAATCGATTTCACTGGACATATGTTGGTTGTTTTCCAGGGTCTTAACCAAATGGAAGTAGTGGCAAGCCAAGAATCAGACTTTGCTTGGCCAGCCTCACGCTCAGGACTTCCCACATCTGTTTCTGGGAACCCAGGATTGATCAATGTCTGATGTTGAGCGGGAATGTCCCTATCCGAATTACTTGTTTGGGCGGACCCCCTCTCTGCCACCACCCACCACTACCACCACCACCTTGCGGCCCCAACGGCCCAACGCCTCAGCACCAAGATGGGCAATGCCACCACAACCAAAAATACAAAGACGCCTCTCGGCCTAGGCTTGGTCTTACAGACCTGCTCACCGGCCAGGGTGGCACCTTTGCGCAACTCGGCTCCCGTTGACGAACGCGAGTAGTGGCTTCCTGTGTTGTAGTGGATCCCACTAAGGGGTTAAGGATTGGGATTGTTGGGTTCGTGTTGTTGAACGACCCAGTTCATTTTTCCAGCTGGCCTTGATTCAATTTGGAGGCCCCTTCAATTGTGGACTCTTGGGGCCTCCCTTGGTGGGGGCCCACCCCCCTCGCCCCGTCGAAAGCATGGTTTGTTGATGGTTTGGTGCACACCAATCCTTGCCAAACGGAACGTTTGTCCAAAACACGGCCATGATTGTAATTCAGCAAAATGAATTGACCTCCAAAAGTCCCCCAAAGCAAACTGAGGCCTCATTTCGCCAGGGGCTTAATACTCGGATGGTCTTGGACTTTGCTAAATGGTGAGTAGCGATGGTTTTTTCGGCAGCTTGCAACCGTGGTAAGTGGGGTATGAAACGGGGGCTTGGGGTTGAAATTTATGGAGGAGATCCTGCAGTGACTGGATGTAACCAGCGTGGTGTTGCAGTAGCCACTCCCTCGGAGAGGGGGGGGAAGGGTTATAAACCCTTTAGCTTTTTGTCCCAGACCATCTAGTTAACCTTTGGTGCGGTCCCTGAGGCCTCCGTAGGATACGTGGAGTCGTGTTCGCATCGGAGGTAGTGATTCCTAGCTTATCCTGAATGTGTTTCAAATTAACACCCATTTCCCACCCCACCCCACCTCCCCCAACTCCCCCCCCCCCAACCCAACTCCCCCCACCCCAACCTTCAACCCCACTCCCGCCACTCCCCCCCCAAACCTCCCTAAACCACCCTAAACCACCCTAAACCCCCCTAAACCCCCCCAAACCTCCCCAAACCTCCCTAAACCACCCTAAACCCCCCTAAACCCCCCCAAACCTCCCTAAACCACCCTAAACCCCCCCAAACCTCCCCAAACCCCCCACCCACCGCCCCCCCCCCACCCCCGAGGTACAACGGCGCCTCCTTCAAGTCCTGCGACTTTGCGCTGGGCGCGGTGCGGGACTCCCTGGGCCAGCTGCGGGAGGCCAACGCCAAGGAGGCCGCAGAGCAGCAGCTCAAGGAGAGCCGAAAGCGCAGAAGCGCAAGGGCGTTGCTTCTTTTTGTTTTGGGGTGGGGCGGGTGGAAAGGTTCTTGTTTTTGGGGGTGGGGTTGGACAAGTTTTTTTTTTTTTTTTTTTTTTTTTTTTTTTTTTCGCTTTGCGGGGGGGGGTGAGGGGGTGGAAGGGTGGAGGGCGCTTATTTTGGGTTGTTTTTTTAGGTTCGGGGGGTGGAAGGGGTGGGGGTGTAGGCCTTACTTGGCTAGGTCCCCCAGCTAAGTGCCCTTTTACCGTGTCTTTTTTGCTTGGGAGGGTTCCCCTACTAAAAAAGTGCTAGTTTCTAACCTCAAAAATCTGGAGGACCTAGAGGATTTTGGGGGGGTGGAAGGGCGGAAGGGTGGGGAAACAGGCCTTACTTGGGATGTTTGTGAATGCACTTGTTGTTGTTTTTTTTGTGGAACCATCAACATGCAGGTGTGCCTTAATGGGATTTGGACGCCCCCCCCCCCCAAAATGGCGCAAGGTTTGTTTGCTCTATGTTGGTTCCCCTAAGCTACGGCAAAAACGAGGTACCGACTCACCCAGACGCCCAGTGGGTTGAATTCAAATCCGGTGCTTCCGCTTTGCTTTTCGTGTTGGAGGGGTTTCCCTACTGTGGATGGTTGTAAAATCCATTTCGCACCGCGAAACGAAACCATTGTTGAAACCGGAACGTTAGTTTTCGTCTTTGCAGGGTCGTATCATTCCAGGTTTTTTAGAATCACAGTTTGTATAGGATCAACCACCAAAGGGACTGCTCTTGACTTCTGGTCTGGGCTTTGGTCTGAGAATCGCTAAGCTAGCTTTGCGGTTCCAACCCAACCCCGAGGGACATAGGGAATCACCTTCGAAGACTTCCCCAGGTTCTGGACTGTCCTGACAATTTCGGAGGATCAATTCAGTGGTAGACCCAAGAGTAGACATTTGGACACCCAATGGCCAAGCAGAGTTTGGGGGTTCAACTCAAGCAAGCGACTAAACCCCCGCCCAGCGGAGCGCCCAGCGCCCAGCACAGGATGCATACATAAATACGCACACACATACATACATACATACATACATACATACATACATATATACATACATACATACATACATACATACATACATACATACATACATACATACATACACATACATACATACATACATACATACATACATACATACATACATACACATACATACATACATACATACATACATACATACATACATACATACATACATACATACATACATACATACATACATACATACATACATACATACATACATACATACATACATACATACATACATACATACATACATACATACATAATACGTACATACGAACGTGCGTGCGTGCGTGCGTGCGTGCGTACATACATACACACACATACATACATACATACATACATACATACATACATACATACATACATTGACATACATACATACATGCATGCATACATACATACATACACACATACACACATACACACATAACATACATACATACTTACGTTACGTTACATTAAAATAAATTACACTACATCACATTACATTACACTACATTACATTACATTACGCTACATTACATTACATTACACTGCATTACATAACGCACATACATACATACATACATACATTTGTACGTACATACATGCATACATATATACATACATGCATACATACATACATACATACATACAGACATACATACATACATTACATACACCTGGATCTTCGTTTGGCATGCTTTTTTCTGTTCCCACCCCCAAACGGATGCTTTTCAGCAGAACGGCCATTTTTGAGGAAACGCGCGCTTTTCTGGAAACTAGCGTTTTCTTGGGACCTTGTGCACAATGGTGTGAAACAGCAAGATTGCGGCCAAACGGGCGCAATTCCACGCACAAGGGCGCAATTTCGCGCAAACGGGCACAATTTCAAGAAGCGTACCTTTTAGCGGCCCCTCTTCCTTTTGAAGTTGATGAAAGCGATCACTTTTTCAGCAAACGGCATGGTTTTCACGAAAACGGACGGATTTATTTCCGAGCAGCAAAAAAACGTGCAGTTGCAAGATCCAGGCATACATACATACATTACATACGTACGTACGTACATACAGACGCACATGCACACACACACACATACATACATACATACATACATACATCCGTACCGTACCGTACCGTACCGTACCGTACCGTACCGTACCGTACCGTACCGTACCGTACCGTACCGTACCGTACCGTACCGTACCGTACCGTACCGTACGTACGTACACATACACCGTACCGTACCGTACCGTACCGTACCGTACCGTACCGTACCGTACGTACATACGCACGCACGTACGCACATACATACATACATTACATACATACGCACAGATACGCATACACTACATACATATGTACATACATACATACGTACGTACGTTCATACATACATACATGACATATAGACAGACATACATCACAATACGTTACATTACATTGCATTGCATTGCATTATCACACTACATTACATTACGTTACGGTACATTACATTACATTACATTACATTACATTACATTATATTATATTACATTACATACATACATACCTACATGCATGCATGCATGCACACACACACATACACACATACACACATACACAACCATACACATACACATACATATGCACATACACACACATACACATACAGTTTGTACATACATACATACATACATACCCACGACAGTATTCGAATTCTTTGGCCCACTCAAGATTTGTGTTAATTAAGTTCCTACCTCGCCTTGCCAAGAGAGCGCGTGTCCATGAGTTTGCCTTTCTTCCTTTTGTTAGGGCTTCTGCCCCCTTAAACTCAGCTACCAAAGATCAGGCACCCCCTGGTTGGTGGTTTGGATTCGTGGGAACTGAATACGGGCTTGAACCCCTGGTTTTTGAGGGTGGGGGTGGGGGGGCGCTTTCTTGCAGACATCTTGGTGTTGAGCCCTTGCCATTTGACATCATTTGACCACGGAGTTGTGCCAAGTGGATATGTTCCTAAGTTAAACCCCTGGGCGGATTTCGACATGTTCGATGCTGTCCACCCCCAAGCCAAGGGAGAATTGTAGATGTAGCCTTTATAGAGTGGCAGAGGCCGTGAGAATCGCTCAGTGGTCCCTTTTCTGGGGAAGCCAGTGCTTCCAGGCAAGCCGGTATTACATCATTGGGTAACCAAGGGAAACCCTGAAGGAAAACCCGGAGTTAAATCTTGGTGAACTGGAAGCACTGGGGAAGATGGAATTGGATTACCTGGCTTTTGCGGGATGTGGGGTGTGGGGCAAGATGGACTTGGTGGAGCGAGATGGAATTGGACTTGCGGGGACCCGTGGGGGGGATCGTCAGGACTGCATCTTTGGCGTGGGCATTCTGCAGGTTGTGATGAAGCACTGGTTCGAGGGAAGGTTTGCCCCATGGGTGTGGTCCTACTTCTTTCCCGCGCGCCTCGGCATGGTAGAAGCTTTATGGGTATTTGTGTTACCTTAATTTTTCGGAAAAGAGCGGGTTTTCCAGTTTGACCCACAGTTTGGCAGAGGTGTTCGCGGTAGCCAAGCAAAGGATGTTGGATCCTGCCCTCACCCACTTGCCTGAGTCCATTAAAGGGACATCCACACAATTACCCTCTAAGTTGTGGCAAAAGAGAAACAACCCCCAAAGTGCAATTGGTGGGAGCTGTGCTCGCTACATGCGAGCTTAGATTGAAAGCCCAGCAGGCGGCTCTCGCGGGCCAACCGCTGAATTCATGGCCAGGAAGGATCCTTTAGTGGACAAAGAGTTGGGGGTGGTGGGGGCTTTGGGTGGGGGGGGATTTCAGGCCCTTCTCCGTTTTAACAAGAGTGGTGAGTCATGGGGAGTCGGCGACGCCAAGGATGACCGAAATTACGGGGGCCAACATGGTCACCATGACCCTCTTCTTCTTACTCAGCGGCCACACCGCATCTGTCGCTACGCGGCCGCATTGAGTTTTTTCAGTTTTCACGCTATATAGGTCCCCCAGTAGTTCCCTTTCAGCCTTTTTGGGGGGAGGGTTCCCCTACTAAAATAGACATAAAAAAGGGTACCCTTATTCTAACCTCTCTACTGGAGGACCTAGCAGGAGTTGGTTGTTGTTCTGAAGAGCGGCCCTCCAAAGGCCGCACTGGCCTAGGGCCTTTGTTGGTGTTGAAAGGGCCATGTGTCAAGAGAGGGGGACACCCAGAGTGGAGGTTTCTGGGGTGGTTTTCCTTTAAAGCAACCTGGAAAGGGTAGAACAACGCAAGGCCACAGGGCCAATTTCAGACACTTGCTTCGGCAACTAGATAATGGAGAGCCAAACAAGGAGAGTGAAGACGATGATTTCACTGGCGCCGATCAGCACCTGGTTGTTGATTTCCACAAGCCAGTCGTAAGTTGCAAGTACAGTCTACCTGTTTTTTGTGCACGATTCGGCTGGTTTCCCCATATTAAATGAACTCGAATGACACTACGGCTTGCTCCCACTAAACACAGCCCCCGCACACCCCATTTTGCAGAATGGATGACATCATGCACCACCTAATGCTTCCTCTGCAAATACCAGACTCAGTTGTTCAAAGCTGACCTTCTGACCTTTTGGTTTTCCCATTTTGGTCCATATTTTGTCATGACCCCAAAAGGCTCACCTTTTTGGTTCAGTTGCCCTCTTTGGGAAGCTGAGCAGACACACGTTATGGTTTCAACCATGGCTTGCATCTACTTCCATGCTTAGGAATATGTGTTTATTTTCCCCTCTTGGTTTTAAAGGGAATCGATTTCACTACTGGACATTTTTTTTCAAATTTTTCCAGGGGTCTTAACCAAATGGAAGTCTACCTCACCATCTTCGGTTCCCAGACCACCACCTGGTCTGGGCGCTTGCACCGCTGGGCGGGGCTCTATCTGCTGATGACCTTCACCGCCATCCCAGCGCCCCGGAGGAAGCTCGGGAGCGGAGCGCTTCGAGCCCAAGGACTTGAACTGGGTGAAGTATAACGACCTCACACAACCGAATTCACCCCAAATGGCGATTTATGTGGGGAATATTCCCCCAACCACGTTATTTCAGGTTGGTGAAATAGTTCACCCAGACTTGATCCACCAGCACCCGGATGCCGCAACTTACCCTTCCATTTGCTGAAATGAAGTTGTTTTTTCTCTTTTGTTTCCCTCCCCTGTTGGTTGTAAAGTTGGAATCGAATTCACTACTGGAAATAGTTTCTCATGTTTTCCAGGCCAGGGGTCTTAACCAAATGGAGGGAACTGTTTCTTCCCATGTCCGAATGCCCAAGCACGGAAACCAGTAAGTAGTGTGTTTAGGTGGCAGGCGGTGGTTTTCCTTCTATGATGTCTATAGTCAAGAATGGAACCACTGTTTTGACATTTGCCTTTCTTGTTTGAGGCTAACCTCGTTTTGGGGTCGGTTTGAATGGACAGCACCAATTGTGTGGGTGCCTTTGCAGCAGCATCCTCTAATCGCTTCTTGTTTGATGGCTTCCCTACTAAAAATACTGTCGGCCTCAAACAGTGAAAAAGGTACCAGGGGTCGCTCTCAAAGTTCCCCTTTGGGACGACCAAAGGGAAATTAAAAGGAACCGTTGCCTCTGAGGAGAAACAAAGCCGTCCCAGTCGGGTAATGCTCAATCTGGAGTACAGGGCGAAAGTTGATGGCACAACTCACCACTTATTTTTTTTGTTTTTTGTTTTTTTCCTCTTCTTCATCTCCTGCCTTTTTGCAGGCAAAGAAGAAGGGGGTTTGCGCCATCTACGAATCCCGGGTCGCTATTATCCTTGGTCGCTTTTTGCCCGGCGGGTCACTTGGGACCTCTGCTCAGATTTGGCTCAGTCCAAGGGTAGCCTTTCGGCCCGGCACCCTCCTCTCCTGTGTCTTGAATTGTGGTGGATGCTTGGGGGATCCTTTGTTTCAGTCTCGCCAAAAGGGGAAGCCGAGCGGGGCGAAGAGTTCCAATGATGAAAAAGCGTTGGGGCGAAGAGGCCGCAGAACTTGGCTGGGGTTTCTGACGTTGGGAGTTTTGTTTGGTCGCTTCCAACGAACAATGACATCAACCCCGAAGTGACGTGGGTTCCCTTTGTCTAGGTCGCTAGGCAACCCGAGGTGGGGAAGGCAGAGCATTGGCAGTGACGCGGCTTTTGTTGGTAGGTATGAAGGGCATATTCAGGTTGTTTGATAGTGCAGGTGAGAAATTACAGGGCAGTGTCTAGTTTCTACCATACATGCATATACCTAGGACCTCCGTGTGTGCAGAATTTCAGCCGCCTCACGAAAAAGCAATTATTTCAGTCGTTTTCTCGAAAAGGCTCCTTTTGGTGGAAAAAACGCCTTTGGGTGGGAGAAAAGCCGATTGAAACAAGTCAATATGCCAGGGTGTTTTTTTCGGGATCCCAAAACATACCGGGCGCCCTCTGCCACCACCAGCCTTGCCGGCCTCTCCTTTTGGCACTTCAGCGCGCTCGCGGTGATGCCGAAAGTTGCCCGCCGGGGCACCAAGGAAGGTGTTGGGAAAGCCAGGGTTCATAGTCGCCCAAAAAGATGTCAAAATATTGGAGGGTTGGGGGTTCAACTGTTTCACTTCAACAAAGGCCTCTCCCATACGCAAAATCCCCTAGATCAGCTCTTGAGCGACTTCAGAAAACGCTTATGGACCGCTTTGCTCTTTATGAGGTAAAGCTGAAGTGTGCGAGCACTCAAAAGTTGGCCGGAAACTCTTCGGCTCAGCCGGCTGACCCTTCCGATCACATCCTCACACATTTCACAGCCAAACAGCTGTGGATTTGGAACCCACTGAATTGTTGTGTCCTGGAGCAGCTGAAAAATATCGAGCTTTGCGTGCGCGAGCATGTGGAACTTTGTTTTCATACCAAATCCAGTGAACTGCCACTTGTGGAGGCACAAAAATGCAAGCGCGTTGTAAGACATCAAGAACAGATGTATACCAGCATACAGCTTTGAGGCACAGTGCCTGGGCAACCAAAGGCCGTGGTTGTAAGTGAGGTGTGTGAACTCCTTTGCGTGCCGAGCACCTTCGCGCATGATCCGCAATGTCTCGGCGTGCTCAGGATTCTTGAGGTCTTGCTGAAACCCTGCGACCAAAACCTGGAGCCATGAGATAAGAAGCATGGTGTCAGATCCCTTGCTGTTCGTCCATCCGTATGTGTTCTGGTTTGGGGCGTTAAAAAACAGAGTCGTAAAGCTGTGAAGCCCAGGCGACTTGCCCGTTGCTGAACACCACAGTCTGAAGTGCCCAAAAGCTCGCTCCAAAAGCACTTCGCGTTTGTTTGATTCCCCACCTTGATTGAAATAGCCAAATTTGCATAAAAGCAAAACAGCTCCGCCGATATAGTCACGAAAGATTCCGCATTTGGTGTTGTGGAAGATGTCCCGTCTCATCACAGATTCCGGCATGGACTGGGAAAACACAAGTGACACAAGAGGTGGGTCTATTTCCCAGGGCCTTTCGTAGCCAATCGTTGCTTCCCAGCTAGGGCGGTGATTGAAGTCTTCAAACGGGTAGTCACGACCTCCGGCGCCACATTCATGGCAACAAGGTGCTTGTAGTGAAAGCTGTTGCTTCCAGCAGCGGGTGAGGTTTGCAACTTTCTTGTACCAGTCCAAGTCGCCCTTGAGACCAGTAAGTTGGCAAAACCATCTCTTGTCATTTACGCAGACTCCCTCAGTTGCTAATTCTCGCAGCTCGTGACACAGGCGTTCCACAATCGTAGTCAACACCCCTGGCTGCTTGCTGAGGGTGTGACCTAGCACGCACAACACAAACTTCGACAGAACACTGTTGTTCCTCAAGTTTGTAACTTGCCTTGCTGGAGAAGTCAATGAATTGTCACCGCCAATTCGTGGGGCATATCCAGCTGGTGTCTTGCACTTCTTTGAGAAATTCTCGGAAACAAAGCATTCATCACAATCGCCGGGCCTGATCCGCTTTTTCGTCTCGCAAGCGGTTTGCAACCCGAGGTTCACTTCCAACATGATGACGCAGGTGTTAGTCCGCCTTCGGCCGCGGCCCTCATCTCCATGGAGAGATACAGGCACTGTTGTTCCCGAATTCTGCGTGGCACCAGGTTGAAGAAACATGTCGTGATTGTAGGCTTGTTGGTAACAACGCCAGAAAGTTTTCAAATTCTCTTGTCCAAGTTCGGGGTCAGTAAACCCACCGTTCAGTAGCTCTGGGGCCTTGTCGAGCAAGAAGCAGATGAACGTTTTGGGGCTGATGAACGGGAGTGTGGTTCTCTCTTCTGCCTCGCCAACTTCCAAGTAGCTAAACGGCACCTTCCACGCCAGCCCCCATCGCCCAATCCAGCGATGAGCATCCCTGGTGGCATTGTGTTTGCTTGTTGCCCGGCCAGGCCCATCCACTTCTTCGCGCGCAGCTTGGTGAAGCTGGTGGATGGAAGCCGCAGGAGCCTTGGCCGAGTGGTTCCCACTTTTGGGTACGAAGCGCGACGCACGAAGCTGCTAAGCGCCCAGCGCCATCCGAGAGCAATTCCGCATAGGTGTTTGCCAGACTGCCGGTAGCAGGCTCAGGTTCTGCACCTGGCAGGATGCGGGGCCACCAATTTAGAGAGCACAAAATTGTGAAAAGGCAGGTGGCAGCTTTGTTTGTAAGAGGGCGTCCGCAGATCTTTTTGAACCCCAGCGGCGCTCAGCTGCCGTGCACTCTGCAACACGTGTTCTGCACATGCTGTCCAGAGAAAAGGCCCCCTTCTTCCCCCAGCATTGCCGTCATGAACTCAAGGCAATGAAATCAGACGTTGCCAGAAGAAGGGGCCACCCCATGTGACTAAGCACCTCTCATGCTCGCACACTTCAGATTCTGAGTGTGAAGGCATTCAAGTAAATGCGCCTTATGCGCGGAACTCCTAGTGTCGGGCACGCTTTTTAGGTGTCGGGGAAACCTGTTCGGTTTTCGCAGCGGATTTTGCCTTGGCTGTGGCC